CCTCAGTTTTGTCAATTACAACCGTGAATATAAATTATACCAAGGCTCAAATATCTTTATTTTTAAAACGTTCTTTAAATGAGGCTTTAAATATGGGGCAATATATTTTTGGGCCACGCAGCAGCCTCGGCTGTTGCACGAATGGGCAGGCTCGTCCGGGTAAGTACCACGACCTCACAGAAGACCAGCGTAAAGTGGAAGCATTATACTTTCGCGTTTCGTTGGTGAGTGAGGTAGCCGGAGCCCAATTTTGAAAAGGCTGTCAACGCATCTGTAACCCTCGGGTGTAGCGGATGTCCATGGGCGGTGGTATTCACTTAACATCAGGTGAACCGTCTGCACTTGGAAACTTTTCATATAAGAAAAAAACATATATCCCTGACTCACTTAAAATAATAAATAAAATGGTATGCGTAGAACAATTTCAGGATTAGGTACACGCATCAAAAGTTTGTAGCCATTTGATTTGTCGGTAATTTCACAAATTCTTTGATTAAATGAAATGTAAGAATCATGTTTTTTCAGGTTTCATATTTGAAAAAGTTACACCTAGTGTGGGCCCTGACTAAACAAAAATTTTATTTGGGTTACTTTGACTAAATTAGTTATTTTATTTGGAATTGCAAGTACGAGTAACGTGTTCATATAATTCATTATTGTTTTACCACTCAGCGGATTATGATATTACATTAATGGGGCTGCGAAGTTCGTTCTACGAGTTCTACTTAACAAGTAGAACAATAGTTCTATATATATTCTATAGTTCTATAAATAATATGGCTTTATGTTTTTCCTCGTGGTAGCGAAATTCACGTCCTAAAGATCCGTCGACAATATTTCAACTCCTAGAGGTTTGAGGACGTCCATAGATAGCGGTAAACAATTAACAGCAGGTAAACCCGTTATCGCCATCTTCTCTCACAAGAAAACATATTAGTAACAGTTTTTTTCAATCTTTCAACTTGATCGTACTTAATAATTGAACTCAATGATTTAAAGCGGTTAAAAATAATGATACAACACTTTGCAGTGTGAGAAGCGAAGAGAAAAACCCTTTGCGCTCATCATTTGAAACAGGTTCTGAGTCAATCCGTGAAATAAATGGAAGGAGTTGAGCTCTATCAATAAAGCTGAGCCTGTGATTCTTGCCTATACACACTGCGGCTCTTGACTAATGATGTTGGATTAAGGGCAAATCGCGTCCATCGGAAGAGTTATTGATTCTGGCACGGGCGACTACCGTATCCATGGGAATGGGGTGGGTTGCGTTTGTGAGGGGGGAGAGTCTGTTGGTTAGTAATGTCATAGCAATGTCACAATGGAACACCGTAGCGCCTTTCGTAGCAGAATAGTGAGGGAGACTATGACCTCCCTTTCCTAATCCTTAAAATTGATCCTGCGGTTAAGTCCTGAGAGCGCAGCAGACAGACGGAGTTATCCTGATGAAAGTTTCATTAAAACCCATTCAGTATCATATTTGCGTGAAATACATACTTACATTCATACTGATATAAGTACGGATAGTCGCAATTAATACGATTTGGAATCAATATCCATTCTGGAGCCATAGCACCAAAGCATTACACACGTGTAATGCTTCTTTAATAAATAGCTTCAAACGTGATTTTTGTTCTAATTTAAAGAATGTCTGAATCTTAACTTCTTTATAAAATTATCGAGGACAGTGAACTGGCTGGTTGTTGAGGAATTTAAGACTGGATTCAAAAGCTGTATACATTAGTATACTTAATTTTAGTGTATTACCTTTCCTTTATAACAAGTGGTAAGGAAGTTGTTGATATGATGAGTTATCTACGTTAGACAACCAAACAGTTTGGATACTAACAAACGTTCATTTGCCTTATATTAGATTTTACCTATTGGTAAAAATAGGTAATTTTGTGAATTTCAAAACGTGGATGTGTTATACTTACACGTTTCGTCTGGTAAGTGAGGTAATCGGGGCCTACTTTTAAATATGTTGTCAGCATATATAAAACTTCTTAGACGTTCATCTGCAAATATGCCCATGGGTGGCGGTAATCAATTAACATCAGGTGAACCACCTGCTCGTTTGACAAATATTCATATAAAAATGCTAAAATCTTGTGACATAGTTACCGGAATATATATTTCCTATACTGGAACAGTAACGGAAATTCAGGAATTGCTTTTGCCTCACTTTCAGATCTTACTTTTTTAAATGAAAACGGAAAAACTATTGTATTATTTATTTCTTTGTTTTATTTTATAAATAATTATGAATTATCTAATATTAATATTATTAATCTTATGAATCTCCGCAAAACTGAAGAGGTATTTCCCCTAAAAGAAAATAAAACGAAGTGTTATGTCGTTTAAAAAAGCAATACTGAAAGTTTGTGAAACGTGTAAACGATTCGTTTAAAAATACATGGCCCCGGCGTAAGAGAGGGTCGCTGTGGGACAGAGAGGGCGCTAGTCATTTGGCAACTGTCAGAGGCAAACTCTATAATTTATGGGCTGTCGCGGGTGGTCGGGGAAGACCCACGTACACTGCCTATTTTTTGTATTCTTCATTCGAATTACTACCAACTGGCATAGCAAAAATAATAAATATATATATATATAACATTTATAAGTGGAAATTTGCATAGATATAAAATATTATTATAAATATTTTATAGTATCTTACACAAATTAGCATGCATATAAAATAACTTTTAGACAATATCAAAAATATTAATACCTGAATTGTTGGGACTGAATAACTGACTGGGCTTTTTATGGATGTGTTTGATTTAAAATGATTATATTCCTCTACCTATATTGTCCTATTTAAATTGTAATTTTTCATGGCTTAAAAAATTTGTAAATCGAGAGAGAAAACATTGAAAAATACCCGATAACTGTCTTTATTTACACCACACCCTGCTAATCCGCAGAATCCGCGGAATCGCGCACGTCCGCGCAATCAATACGGGCCGACCCGGTTGACGGATGATCCGGGATCCGCGATCCGTATTCAATGCTCACTGATACGCCCCTCGGGAATAGATTGATAGATGGATGGACCCGGCGGTTTGGACGTGTCGAAATTTATTAGCAGCGGAGAAAGTTCGAGAATAGCACGGCTGACTATATATTATTTATATTTCCGTGGCTTTATATCATACAAATGTGTAAAAAAAACGACTCGGTTTTAAAAAAAAAATTGTATCTTAAACCGTAGCAAAATTAGATAGGTCAGGATTTGAACCTGTGCGTTGTGGATTTCGCAATCAAATACTTTAGCCATTGCACTAAGCGTTCGACGTCTTCTTGAAAATCGATCTTAACTACTTTTTGTTTTAATTGCATTTGTAGCAATCCTTGCATCGTTCGTTTTAGTCTGTTATGATTTCTCGGCGCATTACTGGTAAAACTTTTTTTCTTGAATTTTATTGGAAAGGCGACTTTACCGTTTCAGTCTGTTACGATTACGTGGCGTACTTCTGGTAAACTTTTTTATGAAATTTGTTATTAAGGCATCTGAAACTTTAGGGAAAAGATTAAGTATATATAACAGATATTGTAAAACGATATTCGAAATTGTTTGTATGCTGGAAAGGATATAACAATAATGCACCAAGCATTGCTTCAAATGCAAAATAACAATGTAGATAAAGACGTTAAGATCGCTGTGGCTATCAGCCGTTTAGGTCAGTGGCTAGAGCGTCAGGCCGCGAATGCCGAAGACGTGGGTTCGATTCCCACAGCGGCGACAATCTTTTCGTACCTTTTCTACTAGTTTTAATGACTCTTGCTCTGCACTTGCAAGTCCTCTGGCTCCTGCTAAATTATACTAAAATAATTTTGTGTGTATACTTAAATACTTAAAAAAAAAATAGAAATAAAATATAAATATATGACCGCAGAGTTTCTTGCCGGTTCTTCTCTTGCAGGTCTAGTTTAGTGAACCGGTGGTAGTTTTTGACGTTCAATAAGAGCTTAAAATAAGCCTATGTTGAATAAAGACATTTTGACTTTGACTTTGAAAAAAAATGTTTAAGTGCAGAGATTAGCACCAAAAAAAACTTTAATTTTATATATAACAGAAATAAATTGATCCTAATGTTATTTTTATATTAATTTCACAAATATATTATTCCTTATTAGTCTATTATTATTTGATATTTATCCCTCGTAATCACGAAAATTTTATATATATTTTATATACTATTACATGTGTAGGATATAGGATATTGCATAATTAATTTCTTCGAAAATTTCGACTAATTTTTTGGAGAATTAAATACTCATACGATATTGTGTAAAAACAAATATTCTCAATTTTGTGTGTAAAACAAGACCTTTAATGATAAGAATAAATAAATAAATTCAAGGTAGGTTGTAAAATGTAATAAATAAATTTACACGCCAAACCGTAGACGTGAATAATTTTATAATTTGTTTTAATGAAAAAACCACAACAATAACTATATTTCAGACTATATACTTCTATAATCAAAATAGTTTAAATTACTAGTTGATGAAGAAATAAACACTTTATATGTATATAACTTATTTACTATAAATGGCCGCTTTCGGAATTTGAAAAAATATTTGGAATCTTATACAGCCTTTCGAATTTTCTCTGTGACATTGTCATTCTACATAAAAAAGTTGGCAAGTTGTAATTATATGGTAGAACAGCAAAAATAATTGACATAGCTCAGAAGGTTAGTAAGCTGAGGTGGAGATCCAGTCATATAGCTTCTAGAACCGATAACCGTTGGCGAAGAAAGGTTCTCGCGTGGCAGCCTCGTACTGGCCATCGCAGCGTAGGACGACCCCCATTATGTAGAGTGATGAGCTGTGGAAAAGTTCGGGAAATCGATGGTTGCAGTTGGCTCAGGCTCGTACTTCGTGGCAGTTTGATGGGGAGGCCTATGTCGAGGAGATGACTCTAACAGGCTGAAATGATGATGATGATATATTATAGATGTAGACAGCTGCTACACAGGTTTGGTCTTTCCCAGGTTTGGTTCCAAAACCGCCGCGCGAAGTGGAAGAAGCGAAAGAAGAGCACCAATGTGTTCCGGTCGCCCGGATCACTGCTGCCATCACACGGCCTGCCCCCTTTCGGCGCTGGAGACGTCTGCAGCCCAGGCGTGTTCGGCGACCGGCCTTGGTCCATGCCTTCCGGTAAGAGTGATGTGCACAGTTGAAGTGAAACTTCTAATGCAACTTCCAACAAGGTTGCGTTAAACTTTCCTGGGGAGGGGGAATAGAAAGAGACAAAGCGAGAAAGAATGCGTGGCACTCGAAGTTTCACTTCTTCCGCGCGGAGGGACTTAGGATCACGCATTTTTTTTTACTTGAAGAAACGCGTCCGTTTCGTAACCCGGTCGATGGCAGGTAAAAGCAACTAGTTAATCAAAGTAGGGCCACTTGGATTACCCTAGGGGTAGCTCAGAGCGGCAAGCTTTTAATGCGTTAAATTTGGACGTCCATAAAAAATATTTGTTCGCGTCATCGAAAATATGTCATCATACAAATGTAAACTATCGCTTTTGCTTTGACACAGTCTGCTTTACCCAGCAGTGAGTAAAGGCTGTAATGTACTCCACTACTTTATGATGGTTGAAATTTATATCGCTTTTGCTATGACACCGTCTGAATTGTGAAACTTTGTATTACTTATAGGTCTAGGTCAGCTGTCCCAGGGTGGCGTGTCTATGGGGGGTTTCGGGGCGGGCTCTCTGCCGCAACTAGCCGCCGAGCTGAACCCTTCGCTGCCCATCAGCTCAGTGGCCTCGCAACAGTACCAGTCGCACTATCCGCTCAACTCGTTAGGTACGTTGAACCGAACGTAACAAACGGACTTATACCGTCAGCTCCCTTATTAGATGGACAGAGATTTATCCGACTGGGGCAGCCAAAAAGGAGGGTCATGTGTCCTATCTGTGTGTATGATTGACCGTTCTTCGTAACTAGTAAACTATGTTTTGGGAAGTATACACCCAGTGAGCTATTAATAAAATTATGAAGATTCGTATTGGCGGCTTTTTCCCGCGAAAATTTACGTTATCAAAGGTTTTGTTACGTACCGCCGTCTGTTTATTTTACTTTAATTATTTGATTATTTGTATAACATACATATACAACTATACCGTGTAGATCTTATTGAGTCTATGAAACAGTTTCTTAGCCAAAGAAAATTGAAAAGTCTAATTGAGAAACCTCCTCCTTTTTTGAAGTTGGTTAAAAAGGAAAGTTAAAGAAATAGTAAGTTTTAAATATATTTAAAAGGAAATCAGGGTCAAATACGTATAACCTGTATCATTATCGTTTTTATAATGCAAGTACCGACCCGCTCCGGCTTCGCACGGGTGCAATACTGAATGTTTGTTTTCGACATTTCATTAGAAACCACGAAAATCATCAGTTATATTATGCATGCTCTGCTATATTATGCATGAATTGTACGTATAAACCTTCCTCGTGAATCACTCTATCTATAAAGGAAACCGCATGAAAATCCGTTGCGTAGTGTTAAAGACCTAAGCATATATAGGAACAGACAGACAGCGACGACTTTGTTTTATACTCTGTAGAGTTACCATTGTAACCTCCTATTCCGGGTAACAGTAAATTTACGTTGGTGTCACGGTCTTTGTGATATTTCTGTTAAATAGATTGTGCGTTGTATTGCAGGCGATTCGATGATGTCTTACTGCGGCGGACCTGGGGGCCCAGGCGGGCCTGCCTTAGACGGGTCGCCCGCCTCGCCGCACGGACACTGCAACACCGCCTCCCCTACTGCACCCGGTTAGTTTTTATGTGGGAAGGTGGCGAGCGGGCGGTTCACCTGCTCATGGACATGCAACTCTCGTAGGGTTGCAGATGCATTGCCACCTTTTAACAAATTGGGCCCCGGCAACCTCGCTGACCGGACGAAACGCAGAAGTGTAACACTTCTACTTTACGTCGCTCTTCTGTGAGGTCATGGTACTTCTCTGGACGGTCCTCCGACAGTGGGCAGTTGCATGGACCTACTGCAATTGTTTTTGTTAGAGTGGGGGAAATGCCTGCGGATACCCGCTCTCGCAGGGTTATGTCAGACTCGCACTGACCCGAAGACATTATGTTTTTGTATCAGTTATCTAATACCCGTAGTACAAGCTTTTCTTAGTTTTGGACTAGAGAATGTTGTATACAAGCGTTAACTGAAATATATTTATTTTGTTCATGTTAAAACGGACGGAGGGTATAATTGCGTGACCTCCCCCGGCCAGGTGGCGGCAACGTAGAGTGCGGGGAAGAGGAATCTTGGCGCGGCCACAGCATTGCTGCTCTTAGGCGGCGCGCCTCAGAACTCTCCGCCGCCATCCCGCCCTACCTGCAGCTCAACTACGACGCCCACAGTCCTGTGTACTGACCGCGCACGGCTACGCGCTCGGCTACGCGCGCGCCTACGTGCACTTCTACGCGCGCGTCTACGTACGGCTACGCACGTAGCGCCCAGTCAGGTAGCGGCTCGCCCAATCTCCTGACGGGCAGTACTTCGTGCGGATCGTGTAACGTACGCAAATAACACTAATAGCATTCCACTACAAATCCATTATCATCCCGTTACAATTTTTCAGACTTTTACTGAAACCCATTTCAGAAATATGCTACGTACATAACGCAGTTTCCTTTTTACGCAGTTTATTGAGTGTTTTTTTTTGCAGTACATACGTTCCGGTATAGAAATCGCACTTCACTCGGTCTTCGAACTTAGATTCGATCAGTAGAAAACTATTTCAAGAACTGAACGCCGGCGACATATAGCTCTGTACACAAATAATCATATATGTCAGTAATCAAAATCAACATCACCGCGCCTTAAAGCATCGTATTACCCGTACACAATTTCTACTTTCCCTGTAATCACACTCAGGAAGGCCTGCCCTATGTCTTTTGATTTATATCTTCCACGATCACGTCGACCTGTTCCGACCTTCCACGATCACGTGTTTACGGATACAGCATATCCTAACGCCATATCTACAAGAGCATTGCATGCAATTTGCAACTTCAGATGCGCAATCCTCGTGTCCGAACAAAATTTTGCCACATTTGCAGCTAATATTTGTCTTAAACAACCCTTCAAAAGGTATATTAAAAATTTACCACCCCAAAAATGTATGAATAGTATTAATATACCCTTTTATTAGCGTTTGTCCCAAATTTTAATAGAAAACCGTAACACCCTGAATTTTAAATTGATTGACAATGCAGTTATTGTTTAATGAAATAATAAATTGGTTTAATCCACTTCGGTCTTGTTGAGTTCAATGAGCTTCTATCAGTAAAATTGAAATTAAATCTAATATTGTCACATTTATTGATTTTAAAGTAAATTGCTAAAAGTCAAAGTAAAAATATTCTTTATTCAATATGCTTGTATTAGGCTCTTATTGAATATCAAAAAACTTTCACGGTTCACTAAATTAGACCTACCAGAGAAGAATCGCCATAATAAGTTGTAAAGCATTGCAAGTTATTTATTATACTTTGCCTTTCCAAAGTTATTCATGAACTAAATAATATCTCTTTGTTCATCCCCTTTTATTCACAGTTCCAAATAAAAATCTAAATTATGTAATCTTCAATGTAATCGCTTCGAATTATTTGACAACAAACAAATTTTCATTTGCATTTGAATAGATCGAGTTACGTCTATATTCTAGACCAATTATAAATATTAACAACGCAAAGCTTATTAATTTGTGATTGGACTAAAAAATCACAATTCACTCACCGACGTCGTTGAAATAAGTGTTTAAATTTAACTCGACCGCCATGACCTTGACATTGCTTTCACGAAGTAGTGTGGCCATGGTAAAAGCTATGTCCCGGGACATCGTTTTAAAGAATTATAGTGTAGACATTGAGCTGTATTCAAAGAAATACGTGTATACGCATTCGTACAATAATAATTATAATGATAGTGTGTAATCGTAAGCTATTTATTTATAAGTAACTATTGTTTATTAATAGATTAGATGTAAAATTCGATGTAATTGCCTATTTGTGGTTTCAGGTTATAGCCCCTATATTAGGTAAAGGTGTAAAACATTCCATTATTTCGTGTAGTGTCGTTTTAAGAGGAACCCAGACCAAAAATGTATGTGTTATGTTTTCATCAATAACATTAACAAAACTAACGTTCGCAAAGACCTGTAATAGCAATGTTACATACATGTTATCTAGAAGGACTTTTGAATACACAATTTATATGAAAGTACACTTGAAATTTGGTCAATACGGTGATTTGCGGTTTATTAAAACACTAAGTCCTACAGAAAAGTTGCGAAAAGGTGTACTATTTCGACATAAAGGCTTATTATTTATGTATATAAAATATTGCATAATCATAGATGAAGGTAATGTTAGTAATGAAACTAACAATTTAGTACTGTATTGTAAATCATACTCTACATTTTGTATTATACGATGTGTCCTAATAATCCTGAATATTCTGGAGTGTTTGTTGGTTTTTTTGTGTGATTTTTCACATAATGTTACACTACGTACGGTTTATTGAGTGGTTTGGAAAACTTTTTATCCCGGAGGAGTACACGGTGCCTGTGGGATAGATCTGGATTATCTCCCGCTATTTCTATATGCATATCTTTTAAGTCCAAATTATCGAAAGCCGCGAGGAATAACAGATTATAAATAAAGGGGGTTGTCCATTTTCGGCTCGGCTTCGGAGTTCAAAATATGTTTAAATTATGATTAACTAATACACGTTTTTTATTTATGTTTTGTATAAATTTACGCTACTAGGATCTTAATTTCAAAAGTACTTTTAATTCATATTTATGTTTCCCTGTGTCTATATATAATGTTCGTCAATATGCAATGAGACGCTTTATTTTATTGCATTTTAAAGCCAAATTTTAAAAATATCTTAAATCTAGCACCGCTTAAGTAAATATAATTAAAACTATGGTTAAGTTATTTTGAATCACTTTTAACTTTGAATAATCGTGGCCCATGTTATGACTATTAAATAAAAAGAACCAGGTAAAATATCATGATAGTGTATGCAAATCCACCTGCAAGCTTTCTTAAGCACTGCGTATTAAAAACGATGATTATGAATAAAATGGATTATGTTAAAACTTTTTTTAAATTAACCTTAAATATATTTCGGAAACAACAAAAAAATATTGTTTTTTCTGTCTCCTACCGTAAAAGCTAATAAATTCTGTACAACATTTCTATTTTTAGTGGCTGTTCACTCCAAACACCCATACAAAGTGGACAATCCCCTTTTCAGATTGAACGATTATTTCATAGAACAGTGTTCGTATTTAGTAGAAGTGTATAGAATCTCGTATACGACAATCTTACTATTTAAAGTGTGAATGAAATGTATGGTTTAAAAAGTATTAAAGTATTAATTTGTATTTTTTTTTATTTACGGGAAACTTGCGGCCACTGCGTTTATGATTGTTGTAATATTAGCTGGAAGTGGTTGATAGTTCCTATTCCTTTCCGGGTTCCGTAGCGCGTTATCTGTTTTTTTTTTATAATCACGTGTAAAACATGCTTTCTTTACAAAATACCATTATCATTGATTCTTATTGATTCATTCTTTAAGAATTCATCATTCAGAACGAGCTTCGGAATCCGAAATCTTATAATTTCAGATGTAGCGCTAAGGAATTTCATTAAATTAAAGCCAAAGTAAACGTATGTTGTATCGCTTTGTATCCATCGTTGTATGCTACGTTAAAAGCAAGTAGATAAAATGAGATAAGAACATTCGTTGATACTACAAAAGGATATTTCGATGGACAATATAATCATGGCCTTTGGTTGCTGTCATACAACCCTTTAAATTGTTTAAAAGAATCGTTTAATTAATTTCCTTTGTCAAATGTATTGACGGCAATTGTGTACAGAAGAATAACTATACGTAACATTGTGTTTGAGCCGTAGAGTATTAATGGTGAGAATATATAAACGAATACGATAAAAATTATAATTGCGTATCTCGTAAACTTTTCTTGTTCATTTAGTATTCATAACAGCATACTGTATCTCGTAAACTTTCATTTGGTACTCATAACTGTATACTGAGCGATGAACTGAGTGATGGTTAGAGCCTCCAGCGGGCACTATGCCCGTCCTTCTGTATAGCCAACGTGTAGCTAGTGTATACATTATTTTAGAGATATAAGTATTAATATATACATACAATAAAATAGACAATGTTTACATTGTGTTTCATTTCCGTGCATCCTTTTTGTATATTAGGGAGTGGGGAATTGGGAATCGGCCCAATGTGAAAAGCATATTTAAGTTTGTATCATCATACAAAATCTTTGTTTTAAGTAATTTTAATTAATGCTTATGTTTTCCTGTGTTCATAATATTACTAACATGATAACGTCAACATGGATAGGAACACTATTTTGTTTCCATTTTAAATCGATTGTAAATTAACATAAAAACATCTATTAGTATTGTATTTAGTAGTATTGCGATTATATATTGACCCTAGCGACTTACGAACAGTGAACTTATGTATTGATTATTTAGCAAAAATTTGACGTTTCATAAGAACGCGCAAGCGTCGTGTGAATTAAGATATTTTGAATTTGAATTTGATTACATTGATAGCTGTCACGCGAAACAAGTTATACTATCTAAAGTACAGTCTCGCATCGCAACAATCCATACTAGTTGCTTGCGCTAGGGCCTGCGAACACCGTAGAGCGTCTCTACAATAGTATAATAGTAAAGGGCACCAGCAGGCCTACTCCCGACGGATACGAATCAATCGAATTTGACTCGAATTAATGACTTTATTTTTTATTTTTTAAAATAGAAAAGACAATCTTTATTGATCTAATATTTACAAGATTAAATCTATCTAAAATTACATATTATCTAATAAACCTAATCCACGCGGCATGGTGCCAAGAACGCTAGCTGCATTTCCTCGCTGAATAGTTATGCTCAACCTTTGCGCGAGAAAAGAACCAGCTCTCGTGTCACCAGCCGCGGCGTTAAGCCTAGGACATAAACTTTTAAAAAAATTTGATGTGCGGGGACCCCACGGACCTAATGTTTCAACAGCAAATGGCACAAATACATAATCTGAACATAAAGACTCATATTTGCGCCATTTACTTACTTCAGCTGCCTCCGATGCCGCCCGGCCCTGACCGAAGTACCCCTTAGATGAGAGGCAGCCAAAGTGTCTACACAAGTGGCGTCCCAAACAAGGGCTTTGCCTCTCTCCCAAGGGATCAATGTTAAACCGTCGGGTCTCTTACCATCGTCGCGTAAAATGCCACAGGGCTCTAAAATAGATGGAACATTGATGGAAACAAGAGCCCTACGGATGATGTCGTTCAGGGAACCGTGGCGAGAAAAACGGCCAGCACTTTTTTGACAAGAAAGCCCGTGGAGACCAAATTTGTCTACACTGACACCACAAGGGCATTGGTGTGGTTGACAAATCGGTGCCCCCAGACGGATTCCTACAGCAATGCGTAGCTAAAGCTTTCATCGTCATGTAATGTGCCCAAGTTACTTGATGGTAAAGCGTGAAGCCAATAACTCGATTCTTTAGATGAGACTCCTAGGAAACGGGCACGCTCTAAATTACTTTCTAAAGATTGAAACGTATCTCTCTGTACTCTCCGCACCAAAGGAACATCCCACTGTTTTTGTAGGTTTACTTCCAGTGGGATATTTTCGTTGGGACGGATAGACAGCCAAGACATCCTTGCCTCCTCTGCATAGGAAAGTTCTGAATCGTGATTAAGGATGTTATTACATAAATTATTTACGCTATGCACGGAAGCAAGGAAGGCAGGTAGAGCGACACTAGAAATTTTCCTTACACCGATACCACCAAAACGAATTGGCAGCGTAGCTTGAGTCCAGCTTAATTCATTAAGAGATAAATTTAGAATTTTTTCTAGAGCTGATTTAAGATGGAAATCAATTTCGTTCAAAAAGTCACCGCATTTCCAAACTGGACTCGAGCGAAGGAGGTACGTAAATTTAGGTACAAGAATACAATGTCGCAAAATAGTAAGCGCAATATGCAATTAACAATTTATTGACATGATCTAAAAATTGACTTAACTTTAATTTTAAATGGTTCCAAACTTGGTATCAACAAAGGAGCACCTAAGAGGTAAAGTGAATCTGAACGGACTACGTTAATTCCCGGTATGATAGAGCTAAAATTTTGGGTCAAAATGATTTTGTCGGAAAAAGAAATCTTTTCGGAAAAGAAAAGTTCGCATTTGGAATTATTTAAATCGAGACCGATATTTTTAAATTGTCTAATAATTTCAATAAGATCACTTTGTACATCGTCAACTTTACCTCTCAGAGTACCATCGTCTAGGTACCAGACATTAAGTTTAGATTTCAATTTTGAAATAATTGGATTAATTCCCAAACTAAATAATGCTGGGCCTAGCGGATCTCCCTGCTGAACGCCGACAGCAGAATCAATAATATGGTTTTCATAAAATAAATTACTCTTTTCACTGTAACATTGCCAAACATAGTGATATATTTCTGGTGTATGGTTAGCCACTTCGTTCAGCAGAGTCGTTCTATCAATGCAGTTAAAAGCATTCCTTAGGTCAACCTTCAGAAGTACATCCAAATCACTAGTATTTAAAGAAGTTAATGACAGTCCGTACCAATGAATCTGACGCCAGCGCACAATCGAGTGGTGGTGTTTTCGGAAAAAATTAAGAAATTGACATTTTATCCTGTGAAGTAATAGGCCGGATACAGTTAACGGATTTGATAAAGCACGATTTCTCGCTTAAAAAAATTAATAAATAAAACGCATTATGCTGTACATAACAAAAAAAAAATTGAATAATATTAACTAATGCGTAAGGATATTATCAAATTATCAACGAAAGCCATAATTTTTTGAAATAGGTAAAACATGTCTACTTCATTATGTTTCGTTTAAACAAATTGTCAATAGATGGCGTTATCACACACTCTTTAAAGAAATCTTTAAAAGAAAATGTTTCACTTTATTTTTCGTCGATATTGGCAAACACTTATGTGTGTAGCTTCCTGCAATGTGAAGTTGCTGTGTATCGATAAAAAAACACCTTGGAGTTATAATACAGACACGATATAAAATTTCTTTTAACAGCGCCATCTATTGTGGTCAGTATAGACATCTTGCTTGATATTTGTGTTACGACACAACTTTATGCAGAATTTTACGATGCGTCTCGAATTAATAAAGCTATATTTTCAAAGATGGCGCTAGAGTCTAGTAGAGTCGTAGAAACGGCAAGTATTATTGACAAAACAAAATTGTTTGAAATCAGATGAATTGTTTGTAATCTAAAATTTTATTGAGAATGTCAATAAAATCTCAAAAATCTTTAAATGAAGAGTGTTCAGAGATATTAGAAAAGAGTTATTCGGTTAGGGGTCTATCGGACGATAGCATCTCGAGGTAAGCAAAGTACCTTTCAACCTTTTCATACCTTTTCAAAAATTTTGTTCTTTTAATTTACTTATTTGGTCTAACGTATTCTAATTCATGGTGAAAAATCTTTTATTTTTGAAAAACTTGCTTGATTTGGGTGTGAGACGATTTCTGGTGAGTTACAAACGCAAACAAAAGTTAAAACCATCAAATGCTTTCATTTAAGGAAGCTCAATTTTTGATAATAACTTTGCCCATTTTTGATAATATCACAAAAAAGGCAAAGACAATCAAAAGGACACAAAGAATTCACGATGATAATAAATCCAATAGGTCCTGACTCGGTTCGTCATAGCATAAGTCATAGCATAACCATATATATTTTTTTTCAATGCTATTCCAGCGATGATAACGAAGATTGTCTCTCCCGTGAGCTTCTACGGAAGATCTCTCCAGCAGTGCTCAGTAAGCTTAGGAGACGTTTTAAAAGGGACAAAGCCAGGGGCGTCGCCAATATTGACAGGTTTTGCACCTTTTCTAAATAGAAAATTTCATGTTTCTTTAACCTTAAAAATATATGTGAATTAATATGGTATAGGATAATGAAATGGATTAATATTATAATATGGAATCTGTTTGTATTTACTTTTTTTTAATTAGCTCTACTGTAAGATACGACAGCTTAAACTATTGTCCCGAGACATACGAGTATAAGCATGGAGCTGTGTAAAAATAGTCCGGTTTATTATGAGTAGACTACATAAACACTAAGTTTGCCTACTGCTAGTTTAATAATTAGTACTGTATGGAACAGTCTTGACACTCGACAATATAAAATTTGAATTTTTAGGTTATGTTTTTGTTCACATTGCTGTGTTAATACACATTTTTAGTAGTTTATACATAGTTTTGAGTCATGCAAATACTTGTCCCGGTTGGGAACCAAACTCAAGATCCGCAGCGCTGAAATCTATCGCTCAGTCAATGACATTTTCCTTAAACTCTTTTTTTAGTCTTACTTCGGACGAAACTTATAATAACGCAAGTCTTTATATTTAAATAAAACATTTGAGAAGTCTCGTAAATAGAACCTGGTATGACTATGGCAATCAGACATATACATATTATCATAATTCTAATTTTTAATATCACAGTGAGAAATCACAACTTCTTTGCTTTAGGAAGGTGGAAGAAGTGATGAAGGCGGCAGCAAAGGAAGAGGGAATAGAGTTTACGGTGACGTCACAACATAACGACACGCTGTGGCTCAAAGCTGAGGAATTTGTTGAAGCGATCGACGAAGTATTCGGTATCACGTGCTCTTAACGTTTACCTCACTACTTAGTATAAAACAAAGTCGTCCCGCTGTCTTTCTGTCCCTTTGTATGCTTAGATCTTTAAAACTACGCAACGGACCTTGATGCGGTTTAAAAATTCTTGATAGAGTGATTCAAAAGGAAGGTTATGTATAATACATTGCACCCATGCAAAGCTGGGGCAGGTCGTTATTTAAAAATAATATAACATTTGTAACATTTAATACCGCCTTATTGATCATGATTACGATGAACGTTGAACGATAAGGGAATCAATAAAACGTCGTAGATTCAGCCACGACCGCAGAGTGCAAGCAAAACAGTATTTAGACTAATTAATAATATAATGGCAAAAATCTTAGTGTGCTGTTTAGAAATGTCTTTACCATTTTGTAATACTATGGAACAAAAAATGCTCTTATGTGTTGAAGATATTTTCTAAAGGTCTGTACTGACTCTCATTACAACTTTTAGTAATTTTTTATATTGTTACAGCATCCTTTATTCATTCGATTCAAGGCTTGGGGCCTTAAATAGCGATGAAATATGATGGAATGAAAAACGACTTCTTTTTCAATTAGAAATATGTATTTGTGGTTTATGTTTAAGTATTCTAAAGTATCATCATACAAAATAAATTTGAGTCCTCTCTCTCCTAACCTCTGTAAATATTAGCTTTCAATGAATATTGTAAGCATTTAAAATAATTAATTTACTATGAGTTTATTTCTTTGACTGCGTGGCGTAGTTGCCAAGGTATTGGCTTCGCCTGGGGTTGTGAGATTGAGCACCACACGGGACAACTGTTTGTGTGACCCACAGATATTTTTGGCCATACCGCACCATTCATAAGCCCAAAATTAAAATAAAACTGAAGAACTCACTACTCCTCTTCGTGCCAGGCCCTCACAAGTACTCGGCGCACGCGCGTCAACTGTGCCTAGTTCTGGACCCGCTGCGTAGCGGCCGCGTGCGATGGGGCGCTCTTCTGAACCGCCTGTTGCCCTCAGAGAGGACGCCAGCCAGCCAGCGCCCCGCCCCAGAATGCATGCGGCCCTTACAACTACGCCACAGCCAGGTGATAAAAAACTTTTTAGGGAATCGCTATGCTGAAACGTAAAGGCCATACAAGTGGTACGCCTGATGGTAAATGAGAACCACTGCTGATGGACCCGAGAAGTGCCGGCCTCTGAGAGCAAGGGAGAGAATGTTGATATCATAATATCCCAAGTTGATAGACGGCTGGATGTATATAAGATACGATTTCTGGAAAGTTATAAACGCGAAAAAAAGTTAAAATCATTCGTACAAATTCTTTTTTTGCCCTTACAACTATGCCACTGCCAGGTAATGTAAACAATCTGTTCTCTCAGCCCAGTCTCGCGCTCAGAGAATAGGGCTAAAGTATCCCTTTCCTGTTCCTCAAAAGTGATTAAAAGGGGAGATTGACTGACAGTAGTACGAAGTTGTCTCATACGGCCGTACCTGGCAAGATGGTGGGGGAATTGGGGAAGGTTTGTCCTTCTTCGAGTCGTGCTGACGCGCAATAGGTACCAAGGTACGCCGACGCCTCTCGATTCGCGCTTGGCCGGTTTTTTCTGATTTTCGCGACAAAATCTTGTGTCTGCGACATGGTGATAAAACTGGTTGTCCATTCTATATTTCGCTTAGCCTGTTCTACTAGCCTTAGCTTTAAAGGGTTGTTACAGTCATCTTCCGATGTTCCGATTTCCGAACGTTTTGTCTCATTTCCAGAGGAGTGCATTATTAAGTTGGTGGGCATAGAGAGAGAGGACTCTTTCTGCTACGTAGCTGTATCCAAAGGCGGTAAAGTCGGCGTGTACAGTGGCCAGTTCAAACTGCTCAGCAGTTACGAGGTCAGCCTACCAGTTTTTGGATAACATTACACTCTTTGCACATTCAATGGTGAAAAAAAAGTATATGTTGAAACGTCGTTAAACGACTCAATATCACAGAAGACCGGCGTGAAGTAGAAATGTTATTCTTTTGCGTTTCGTTTGGTGAATTAGGTAGCCCACTTTATTAAAATGTTGCATCGCATCTGTAACCCTAATAGTGTTTCAAAAATTTCAATGGGCGGCGGTTATCATTTAATATCAGGTGGACCGCCAGCGCGCTTTCCACCTTCGCACATAAATAAAAAGTAAGTCAAATTGATAACTAAATTAACTGATCGTTGCTCCATCAGTTTTATATTTATTAGTCCAATTAGACAACAACGATTACTAATCATATATTAGTACAGTCATCATAATCTTTCTACAATTGATTTCATTTTTAGTTCTGGTCTCTGCACTGCGGATGGAAGTTGAAATGTGTTTTTTTAGATAAATGGACAAAAACTAATCGGAATTCGTACCTGCGTAACAAGCCGTGAGCTCATTGGCCGCTTAACCTAGTTGGTAAAGCCTCTGGGCGTCTCAGACAAAAAAAATAACACTTTGAACAGTTATAATCTAAGTTTTGTTCATGTTGAGCTTCGGCACTTGACGACTTATTTTTTTTAATTCATACCGAAAAGCTGACACCGTAAGTGTCGCTCGGATATCTAAAGGGCTCTCGTGTCTCGTAGGTATTTCATCAGAGGCCCGGCGCACGGCGGAGGGTTAAAAATTGTTGGATCACCGATGCCGTCTACTTGGAGGTGAGTTTCCTTTCCAAGTCCAGCCATGCTAATGGAAATTCTAATATTGCAGGGAACACATAATGTCTTATTATTTTTTTTTATTTCACTACATTACATTCATATTGGCGACCCGAATGGCGTATTGGGTAGTGTACCTGCGTCCTGCGCCAAAGGGAAAATATTGCGATGAACATAGTGTTTTTTTTTTTCTAGTGTCTGGGTGTTTATAAACGAGTATGTATAATATGTTTTATTTACAAAAAAAGTATTTTTTGGTAAGTTTATCAGTTTTCTAGGGCCCATAAAGCGTACAAGCCCGTACAAGCGTTGCTTAGTTTGGGACTAGAAAATGCTTTGTAAAAATGTGTCCTAAAATATTTATTTATTTATTTATATGTCTTTTGATTGACACGGCGGCAAACTTTTGCAGTAGTATTTGAGTTTTTTACTTAAAACTTGGGATATATAGAATGAAATGGTCTGTGTCACCAGAGAACTTCAAAATGTAGAAGACTGAACAACGTGCGACTATTTGTTTAAAATAAAAATTACGCCCAAGGAGATATACGAGTACGTTAATATTTTCACATTCAAACAAAATTTTTCGCGACGTCTTTGAAGCTATCCACTAGATTTTTAATATTCGTGGATGGATGAAATCTAGGTGTTATTCAGTATCAAATATCAGTATCAAAACAACAGTTAGAGCATTAGAGAAAAATTCGGGGAACCCGCTGGTGCCCTTTTAATAGTCAGTTTTCTTGATCTTTTCCTTACTTTCTCCTGATTTGTACATCCTTTTATTTGTTTAATCACCTAAAATATAATTAGATAAAAATATGCAACAATTAGAGTTATACAACTTGACATTATTATGTTTATAACCGGTGCTAGTTTAACTAGAAAGGAGTTTAGACTTTTAAAAACCTTTTCCTTTGTTACCTTACGCAGGACGCTTTGTGCGTGACTTATGCGACATCCGAGCGCTGTCTACGTGTATTTGCTGCGCCAACTCCGACACACTCGCCACTCTATTGCATCACGGGACTGCCAGACGTACCCACGGTTCGTGAACAGTCGCTTGAAAAGCCCATCTAGTGGAATGGCTTGTCTATGGAGTTTGGAATATGTACTATGTAATAGACGCAGGTTGTTAGCTGGGTGTCTCGCAAAGTGGGTGTCTTCAAGGCAATAGTGTTGTACAATACTTTGAACATAAGTAACATTCTCTATAAACGCCTTGATAAATATTATATAATTATTGTCTATGACAAAGTCGGGACACTGGCAACTGAGGAACGGAAGAACAGATACGACCGGTCGAGCGCTCTGACAAGTCTAAAATAGTTGTGAACTTCTATTACAATAATTTTTTTTCATGTCAGCGTTCCACAAGTTTTATTTGGACCCTAAGAGTGTATATAAATAGTGGTTTTACTGAGCTAGTGTGTTTACCATCTGCGACTGCATCAGGTGGGATAGCAATCAAACTAAACACTCCCTTACAGAATAAGAAACATGACATTGGAACGTATAGTGCAACATCATTGCTTGCTGTATTGGCATAACTTCAGTTCTGTACTCCATGACGATTTCAGTTATAATGAATGATTTAAAATGGTTTTTTTTATATTAGGGTTGAGCCCTAGTCGTGGGCACAGCGCTTCTGTGCTCACACTTAGAGAGTGGGGGTGGGGGGTCTACGAAGAGATTGGATTCTGAGATATACCGGACGAAACTCAAAAGTCATCGGTCTGGTACCAGGCTTTGAGTAGGACGATACTTTCCATTTTGACCTGGGTCGTTCATAGACTGACCAATAGCTGCTCTTTTTTATGTGAAAAGTTGCCAAACGAGCAGACGGTTCACCTGATGGTAAGTGAATACCGCCGCCCATGGACATCTGCTACACCCGAGGGTATGCAGATGCGTTCACAACCTTTTTGGAAATTGGGCTCCAGCTACCTCACTCACAGAGGAAACGCGAAAGTATTATACTTCCACTTTACGCCGGTCTTCTGTGGGGTCGTGGTACTTACCCGGACGAGCCTTCCCATTCGTGCAACAGCCGAGGCTGCTGCGTGGCTCTACCGCCGATAAACTCTCTTAAATGCTCTTAACCATAGAAAAGTTCTGTTCACAGTGTTTGGCGTACAGTCCGTGCGGTGAAGACGGAAGTAGTTCGTTGATGATTGGTACAGTCCGCGGCGCTCTGTGCGTGCTTCGCTTCACACGGCCAAGGGTCTCCCTGCTGCAGTACACTCCCGACGCACTAGCATACAGCGGCTGGACGGTGAGCTGATGACTGTTTTGGCGCTACGTATTCCCTATTCGTATGCTGCTTTTATTCTTTCTTTGCTTAGCTAATGTACCGCTCAACATCAATTCTCATATACTATTTCATTAATTTTCATAACAAAAACTACAGACTACTTTTAAACCTGACCCTCGTATTTCGTACGTTAAGTTAAAGCGAATAGTACGTAAAGAAGAATTCTCTTTGCGAATTAAATTAAGAAACAACTACTTTTCGTTCGGAGCGTAGTCTCAGTAATAATACTACGAGAGGTTCTGCTTACATTACATGGCGATCTTATACAGGGAGATTTTTTGAGAAGTGCCGAAATTTACACAGGAGGTTCAGACTCGGTAGTATAATCGTTTATTGAAATAAAAAACAAAGTTTTTTTCCCAAAAAACAGAACATGTTGCCAATGCGGTAGTCATTCATAAGTGTTAGTAATGAATGATCGCGCGTAAAATAAATGTGTTGCATATAAATCACGCACTTTTTGAGATAAGTTCAAATGAATGTAATTAATTACTTACGAGTGATTTTAAATATTTATCATTTTTTATATAACATTATTTATGTCTAGAATTTAATAAAAAAAAATGGACACACTTAGAAAAGCCACACTGTATAATTATATTACTTGCTGTTATCCGCGGCACAATCAAACAATGAGTTTTTTATTATACATCAGAATATCTCGCAGATGGCTGAATTTTTTTCGTAGTTAGTTGATACTTATCATTTTTTCCTACTTAGATGACATAATAGCTATAAGAAAAGACTCGAGCATTACCATATGATAGATATGATCCTTTAGAAAGGCGTAAGGGTCTATTAAGGATAACTTTTTTGCATAACTTTTTTAAGGATAAGCTCTTAAGTTTTAAAATTGACTGTCGGTCTCTCTTACTTGATATCGATATCACTGTTCCAAGAATTAGTGCACGTCTACATAACTACAAACCGTTTCATATTAAAAAGGGTCGTAATGAATATGGCAGAAACACACCTTTATCATCGTTGAATTGAATGCTGAATGCATTTCAAAACTGTGATGTGGATATCCATTTTGATAGCTTAAATATTTTAAAGAGGAAGGTGCTAACACATTACACAGCCGAATAATTTTTTCATTTTAAAAGTTTTTTTTTCCTTCCTCTCTTTTTTCTCCTGATACATTATATACGTTAGGTTTTTTTTGTTCTAATTTTATTATTTTATTGTAGTGATAGTTTTATAGGTTACTGTTCTCCTTAAAGGAAGTCTTTTATTATATGTTGTGTTTACCTTTAAATAAATAAATAAATAAATAAATCATTACCAATACTTTGCACCATTCACGAAATATCTTTATAAATTATAGTCTATGTGCTATTCTGATGTAAAAGCTATATTATTGTAAAGTTTCATTAAAATTTATTCAGTAGTTTTTGTGTGAAAGAGTAACAAACATCTACAGAGAGACAAGAGTAACAACATTTATAATATTAGTAAGGATATTTGATGAATTGCAATCAAAGGGTGACCATTTTACAATGAAAGGAGATAGGTAGATAGATATAGATAGATAGATATAGATAGATAGATATAGATAGACAGATATAGATAGATAGATATAGATAGATAGATATAGATAGATAGATATAGATAGATAGATATAGATAGATAGATATAGATAGATAGATATAGATAGACAGATATAGATAGATAGATAGTATTGATGTTGACATGGTGATTATTCGCCTCTATAACACCGTCATCTGTGGCTTGGGTCAGGAGCTGTGTTCAGGTGCGCAGCGTGCGTATTGTACCGCGCGCACGCACGCTGCGCTGCACTCGCGCGCTGTGCGCCGCGTGCTGTGCGAGAGGGACGCACGGCGTGTTCTGTCCTGCTCGCACGATACTTCTTGCAGCCTGCGCGTGCGCCATGCGTCACCTCACCTCGACGATTACACATTGAAGTTGCAACGTGTAAGTTACCTATTCATAAATATTAGAAACTAGCTGTGCCCGCGACTTCATCCGCGTGGAATTTAAAATAAAAAGTATCTAAAATAAAAGTAGCCGAATTTACTCTTTATCACATCAGCTATCTGCAAGTGAAAGACCCTTCCAAATCGGTCCAGCCGTTTCAGAGATTAGCCGGAACAAACAGACAGATAGACAAATTGTAAAAAAAGCGGTTATTTTAATATTAGAAACAGACACTCCAATTTTATTTATCTGTATAGATGTATAGATGAGAAATATTTTTTTTATGTCTGAAAATTGGGGTGGCAACGTGTAAGTTCCTATTCATAAATATTAGAAATGAGATATATGTTTTTTTATTTGAGGAAGTGGCAAACGAGCTGGCGGTTCACCTGATGTTAAGTGATAATCGCCACCCATGGACATTTGCAACACCCGTAGGGTTGCAAATGCGTTGCCTATAAATAAAGTGGGCCCCGGCTACCTCCCTCACCAGACGAAACGCAGAAGTGTAACACTTCTACTTTACGCCGCTCTTCTGTGAGGTCGTGGTACTTACGGACGGACCAGCCCATTCGTGCAACAGCGAGCACTGTTGCGTGGTCCTACCACAGTTAGTAACAGTATACTTTATACCAATTAGCCGCTTATATAGCATTTAAGTTATATATTTTTATCCTGGTCGAAACTCAATTTTTTGTAAGTAATAATTGTTCATTGACAACAAAAACGCATCGCTTTAAATGCACATAAATTCTACCTAGTCAAGATTTTCGTGAGTATATCGGGCGCAGCTCGGATAATGTTTTGGCGCGTTATTAAAACACAAAAAGCAGGGTCAAATTACGGCAGCGCCGAAAATATTTCTACAGTTTATTTATAAAACTAATATTCGAATGTATTTTAAGAGCAAACCAGCACTTATAATGAGTGACCAACATATTTAATGTAATGATAAAAAGTACAAATTCGATCCCCACGGTGGCGAATACTTTTATAATTGTTTTTCTACAAATTTAATGTTTCAATTATTTAGGTTGTAAAATTATTCGAAATTGTTTGTATTCTGTAAAGGATGTGATAATGGATGCTCCAAGCATTGCTTGAAATGCCTTAAAATAACGTTGAGATTTCCTTTGGTGCGACAATCAGGTTAATGGCAAGCGCCTGGGCGTGAATTCCCAAGACGTGTGTTCGATTTCTACAACGGCGAAAAAATTTAACTAATAAATAATACGTACTTTTTTTTTTTACAAATATCAATGATTATCTACCTATGTTTTACTAATTTTTGACCGACAATGATTATCTCTTTATTTTTAACTCATTTTTAACCGACTTCAAAAACAGGAGTTTCTCAATTCGATTGTATTTTTTTTTTATGTTTGTTACCTCAGAACTTTCGATTGAGGGAACCGATTTTGATGATTCTTTATCTATTTGAAAGCTGGTGCTTCCCATATTGTGGTCCGATATTAATTTAATTGTTATTGGATCTTGGGCTCCTAAGAGAACTTCTAAAAATCAATTACAAAATGAATACGGAGCGAGATATTTGAAGTCTTTTGTTCTGTTTTTCGTTAATAAAAATATACTTGTTTTTATGTCTGTCGCGTGGTTCGTTGCATTGGAACATGACTAACTGGGGCTGGTAGGGCGCGAGCTGCTTCCACGCCGTGGTGGCTCTGCGGCTGGTGGCAGTTGGCAGCGCGGACGGCGCTGTCCGCCTGTGGTCACCACCGCAGAGCATGCCGTTCGCCAAACTGACCGTTCCTGGCTCGGCGGCCGTGCTGGACGTCGCCATTTTGACCCGCCTCGAGGTGGTCGTCGTTTTCCACAGCAACTGCGTGAGTGGCAGCGGGTAGATTCGTTAAGAGTTACTGATAGATCTTTTTTTTTAATGTGAGAAATAGGCAAACGACAAACGAGCCGTTCATCATCATCATCATCATTTCAGTCTGTTTGAGTCCACTGCTGAACATAGGCCTCCCCCACAGACTGCCACGAAGTACGATCCTGAGCCACCTGCATCCATCGACTTCCCGCACATTTGCACAGGTCGTCACTCCATCTAGTGGGGGGTCGTCCTACACTGCGATGGCCAGTACGAGGCTGCCACTCGAGCCGTTCGCCTGTTGTTAAGTGATAACCGCCGCCCATGGACATTTGCAACACCCGCAGGGTTGCAAATGCGTCGCCACCTATAAATAAAGTGGGCCGCGGCTACCTCACTCACCAAACGAAACGTTGAAGTGTAATACTTCTACTTTAGGCCGGTCTTCTTTAAGGTCGTAGTACCTACCCGGACGGACCTGCCCATTCGTGCAACAGTGAACATTGTTGCATGCTCCTATCGCAGTGAAATTACACGGCGCATTTGACAAGCTAGAGTTAGCTGTATATATTTCTTTTTTTTTAGATACTGAATATTTGGGATATTTACTGCTTCACTCCATCAAGATTAAGTTTCCCTTCCTCGGAGTATTGGGAAAGAAAGTAGAGTTTGGGGCGTATTGTATCCATCCAGGTGAGATATTAATTTTTATATTGCTATTCTTTACACTTAATAATAATAAATAACAAATATTTTCAGACACATTTTTCACACAACGTTCTCAAGTCCCAAACGTAAGCAACGCTTGTACTGGGTACTAGAAAACTGATAAACATACTTTTCTTTTGTAAATAAATACATATTATACATATATAAACACTCAGACACTGGAAGAACACGATGTTCATCACGCAATATTTTTAATTAGTGGGGATTGAACCCACACCCTCTAGCGCAAGTGGCAGGGTCGATTGAGATGACATTTAAAATTTTTAGAGAAATGGACGATGATTCTTAGTTCAGGGGATCGGGCGCGTATCCCGAAGAATTTGAACCTACTTCGGTTCAAATTCTTGCAGAAGCAAAAACCTTTTCGTCATTATTGATGTCAATGTAAAATAAACCTTTAATATTCGGTTTATTAACATTGTTTCAAAAAGAAATGAAAGCTTGTAGTTCGACAACATTATTTACTTTAGCCTTTTCATTCGGTGGAGCTTGATCGGTGATGACACCGTGTCGCAGCTGGCAAGGTATTGGCTTGGTTGTGTTTCAATTGTTCGGACAAGTTATACAATTATTATATATATGTGTAGGTTAACTGGCGAGAGCGTAATTATACATTTGTTACGGTGATATACACTTACCTTAATGGATCGTCCTATACACTTTATGTACAAATAGCTAAACAATAGTCGGATAGAGCTCACTGGTCACAACACTAGTACCTGCTCACCGCGCCACAGTCAGCGTCATCCCATCAACACACCTCTCTCGACTGGGCAACTGAGCACACGCGCGATCACACCAATTATAAATTGTCCGTGTTTCATCGGAATAAAAACAAGCGAATTAAATACAGACCATTTATTTTTATCATCTGCTCAAGCTATTGTAGGAAAAGTAGCGATTCCCTCCAGGTAGCGTTGTCTAATGTTCATCTTCATTATTATTACAATGTATGCAGTAAAACTACCGAAGATGATTTATATGATGAACCTCTGTGTATGACGTGACCAAAGTATTCAAGCAGCCAGTTTTATAGTTTCATAAGAGAAAGTTTTCAATACTCATTTTTCAATACTTTGATGACTCCGTGGCGCAGTCGCCAAGGTATTGGCTTCGGCGTCGGGGGTCCTGGGTGCGATTCCCACACGGGACAACTATTTGTGTAACCCACAGATAGTTGTTCCGCATCTGGGTGTTTGTCCACGTGAAATTTATGTTTGTAAAAATGTCCTTACAACACAGGATAATGTTATCCTAAAGTAAGAGCAATGTTTAAAAAAAATACTCATGATTTATAGGACCTGCTCGCCGGATGGATACAAAAGATGCGATCCAAGACTTACTCGGTGAATCAGGCCAACTGCATAATGATGGAGAACATGGAATAACTGAGGATGGAGAGCAAGATCCGTAATCTGAATTCAATTAACTTTTTTAATTTTACTAGACAATTTTCTTAAGTTTGTAAGTACATTTAATGGACCATAAAGTAATGTAACAGCCTATAATTATCCGAATGCTGGGCAAAGGCCTCCGCTGTACAGAGGGTATTAGGGTATAGTCCACCACGCAATCCCACTGCAGATTTGCGGAATTTACATACATACATGTTAACGTGTTACTACTTCGAAAATATGCAAGTTTCTTCACAACGTTTTCCTTCACCGCTGAATACGTGATAAGATAGCAATTAAAATTGAAATTAACAATTTCATTGGTGCCGGCATTGGATTTGAAGAAAGAAAGAAAGAAAGAAACATTTATTTGGCACATAAAAACAAAATACAATAGATACTAAAAACTAAATGCCTATAATTAAAATGAACTTTCGTGAATGCTGGTTTTCAGTCGAACCATGGGGGAGAGAGATAGATGGCCCTACGTAATTATTATAAAATTCACAAAAAACAACAAGAATATTTGACTAAAAATAAGAAACTTTACACATAAAGGATAAAATTATTTTAAAATATATTACTTACTAGTTGCTGACCGCGACTACGTCTGCGTAGAATAGGCTGAAAGCGTAACATTCAGACAGAAAGACAGATATAAATAAAAATATGTATATAAATTATAGCCTATGTCTTATTCTGATGAAGCTATATTATTGCAAAGTTACATTAAAATCCATTCCGTAGTATTTGCGTTAAAGAATAACAAACATCCATCCATACATACATACAAACTTTCGCCTTTATAATATTAGTAAGGATTTTACCTGCCATGCTTGTGTTCTGTGTGATAAAAAAAGAAACATTTTGTTGTTGTGTTATGAGATGGATGGAAATCGTGTGTTTGTGTTCGTATTAATTAAGAAAGAAATTCTTAAGAAGACTAGCAACATGAGTTTAAGATAGTCTTAAACTCAGGTATAGTTCGAGTATATTTTATTAAAAGCGAGCTCCAGGAAACTGCGCTGTCACGGCTGTAGCTACCTTTTAATTACCTTAATTTAATTACCTTTTAATTAACATTTAATCACCATTTAATCTGAACTTGAAGAGAATAAAATATCAAACTTCGCTTCGAATTACTAGAAGTTTATTCATTTTTTACGTCTTCAAAGCGCAAAATTATGCTTCAGTTTATGTTACATTCAATGTGTTACAGTGGGCCGTACGTTTTTCTGCACAAGTAATTATGTAAAACAACTTAAACGATGACTAATGTTTCGGTGGTACATGGTTCGATTGCCACATGAGACAAGTATTTGTGTGAACAACAGATAATTGTTTTGGATGCAGATGTTGACATCAGCCAGATGGACAGTCTTCAGCCCTGTAGTCCCGGGCTCTAGAATAGGCCTAAGGTATCTCCCGCCTGTCGTAAAAGGCGACTAAAAGGGGACATGGATTGGCAGCAGCACGAAGTGGCCTCGAGCTGCTGCAAGATGGCGAGGGAATCGGGGAAGGTCTATCCTTCTCCGGGGCGTGCTCACGCGTAGTACCGAGGGACACCAGTGCGATCCATAGGAGATCCCGGGGTCCCTCCAAACGAACAGAAGGTGGCCACCGAAGGGGTTTTAGTGGGTAAGAACCCCACATAACCCTGCCACAGAATGACATGGTATCTTACGAAGATTTCCCCCCGATACCAAAAAAAAAAAGGTGGACAGCAACAACACTAACGGCATGATTGTGTGACATGTTGAGGTGACAACATCTAGGCTGGATAACAGGGCAGGGTGATGGTGATGATGTTAAATTAAAGACAGTGATTTATTTATTTCTATTTATTTATTTATCACCAAAGAAGTACAATACGTAACAGAAAAAATAAACAAGGTTTGCAAAAAAGTGATGAGTGGTACCTTAATTATAAGCAAAAACTAATTTTTAACAGACAGTAGAGACAAAACCAAAAAACTTTTACGAAAATAACATTAAATTAAAATACCGTAAAAATAGAAAAAAAAAAAAACAGTATACAAAGAACATTACTAAAAAATATGTTACATTAAAGTGATTCAGAATGGTTCCTCCCGGTTTTGCATTTGCCGTGACGTTAGAGCCATATCTTCAATCAATTCAAACTATGTCGTAAAATGGTCATTCCACTTCTGGATCTCCTTAGCCTAGTTATTTACTTTGATCCTTTACAACTGATTGGCAGCTGCTTTTTGTCATTGGTTTCGAAGGATGTCAACAATGGGATTTCTCGCCTGAAAAGTCAAGTCTTCTTCTTCTTCCTTTCTTTATGGCCCATCGTTAAAGAATTCTGCCAAGAAAAGTCAAGTCGTCATGTTAAAAGTAATAAATTGAATAATGTGGGTATGTTATTACACACCTATCTGACATGGGCCCCACAGATAATTGGCTCCTCTAGGCTCCCTAGACTAAGTGATTTTCTTCTCACTGCTACTTTAATGACCTAGACCCGATGAACGCAAACGTACTGAATAAATTCAAAAACATAATATGGTTAAAATAACATCACAATTTGTCAAAGAATTTGATCTCTACGTAATGTACTCGAAAGTTCACAATTATTTGTCATTTTTTTTTTAGAAAAGATTTACGACATTTGTAGAATTGGCGCACACCAGTCGAGCCAATTCCATTAATTAATCGTTTACGTTTGAGAATAACATGTTTAAGCTCGCTTTCTAAAATTTGTTTGATAATTATGCGCAAGGTCAGAAATTATTTTGCTGCTCATTACAAATTTTATCCGAATTTAAATTTTATGTTCAAGGAGTTTTTATTACTTTGTAATTGCATAAGATTGTCTAATATACATCAGTCAGACAATTAAGACTCGTTGAAGATCGTAGCGTTAAAGAAAATCCTTATTGCATTCGTTAAGGTAATTCATTAATATCATTCCTTAATCCATTCATTCATGCAAATTGCCAAAGTGTCTAGTTTGGCAATTTGCATGAATGAAAGAATTTAACTTGTTGGTCAACTAGACGACGAACATGAATCAAAATCAAAATCAATCAAAAATATATTTATTCAAATAGACGCTTGCGCGCTCTTATGAATCGTCAAATTTTACATCAAAGATTATGTGTATAGGTTCGTAAGGTGCCATGTTACATTAAAGTCAAAAATCAACGTTAAGATGACGAAACAACCTTCAATGACCCATCGCTATTCTCTCTCTCTCTCTCTCTCTCTCTCTCACATGCATTTATTATTCCCACACGGTAGTGGGGTCTGCCTTTCCTGTCATTCGCTTCCACTTGCTCTATCCATTGCATCGTCATGAGTCACATTGCAGGCGTTAAGAACTTTTTTCAATACCTCTGTCCATCTTATTTTTGGTCTTCCTCGTCTCCGGGAACCTCGGATGTCCAGATGGTACGCTTCTTTCCCAATGTAATCGGAAGGTCGACGTTGCACATGTCCATACCATCGCAGCCTACTTTCCTGGAGCTTGTCGGCGATGTCATGGACTCCGAGACTTTCTCGCACGTACTTGTTACATATCTTGTCAAGTCTCGTCACTCCGCACATCCACCGTAGCATCTTTAGCTCTGCTACTTGTATAGTATGGATCTGGTTCCGTGTCACGGCCCACGTTTCGCTCCTATACGTAAGAACTGGCCTGATCATGGTCTTATATACTAGCCCTTTAAGCTTGACAGGCATTTTTGGGTCACAGGTTACGCCAGTTACCTCCCTCCATTTAAGCCAGGCTGCTTGAATTCGGTGCTAAATGTTTAGGTCCACTTCCCCCGAACTGTGCTTAATACTTTGTACACCTTCATCTACTCTCTTCTTTAAGTTTTATTTAAATTTTCCGATAACAATAGTGGTCTGGAAGAAATTGCATCTAAGGCGATAAGGCATCATATATTTTGTTTACAATAAATTATATATTGATTGAAGGGTCACTTCCACACAGTAAATCGTCTCATCGTGTACGCCTTTGAATTCTAAGATTTACCTTGTATAATCTACCATATTCAGAGTTTATGTGCATTCAAACCGTGACGAGTGACCTTATAATTGTGTGCAAGACACTCATTTTAATGAAATTCTGAAAAGGTAAAACCTTCGATCGTGCGTAAAGAGGAATAGAGAGCAATGGAGAGAATATTTTCTGAGATTCCCAGAAATTACAGTAATGATCAGAAAGGATTAGTCCAGAACCAATTCTACCTTTTAAATACCGTCAGATACGTAACACATAAACCGTAAGCTTCTTTGTTACTCTGATTTTGATTCTAAAAGAATGCACGTGTGATGATAATACAATAAGAAGTAGGTAAAATACATTTTTTAAATCTTAGATCTTTTTCTTTTCTAATCTTTTCCCAGAGAGTACGCACGATTCAATCGTCCGGAACTGCTGATTACCTGCTGCGATTACGTTTGCCGGGTCGTTTTGGACAACCGCTCAGACTTGGGTTCAATTCTGCCCCCACCCGGTGACACCTTGAAGGCCCGTCGACCTTCCTACTGGGAACTGCCTGAAGATTTTGTCGCCGACAGCAGTGAGTCATAACTTAAATAAAATTTGCTATTTATATCCCATAGTCATTGCAAATTATATCTCAGTTAATTATTATTTATCAATTTTAACCAACATCATAAAAGGAGGTATATGTTCCATTCTGTGTATGTATTTTTCTTGATCTGTGTTAACCGGTTGCTCTGCCAATTGTGAATCGAGTTGGAATATATGTATTTTTATTGATAAAGTTGAGTTACTAATGTCAAGTACTTCCAACTTATTCCTTATTGTATTTATTCTTTATTGCAAATAACTTTAAAAAAAGGTTTACAAAGGTTGAACTTAATGCTTTATGGCATTCTTTCCCAGTCAACTTTGGCGTTGATATAAACTGCTGGTGATAAAACTTTAATTTTCTTACTCGATTACTCCTCCCGGAACCCTAAAATTATCTTTTTAAATCAAATATAATCTGTCACTGGAATTTAAACGGTAAGGTTAGCAGAATGAAATATATAACTTTTGCGGCAGTACGCGGCAGCGGACATTCAGAGCCTTTGGACAGTGCTCCAATGGACATGCAAGATTTACTGGAAAGGGCCGGTGAGTTAGTGACTTTTCGAATTTATACTTAAATAATTTTGTTTACTTGTATCATTGACAAAAAAGAGATAGCAGGGCCGCAGAGATTGCCGGTTTTATTATTGCCGGTTTTATGATTAGCGGTGGTAGTTTTTTGATGTTCAGTTAGTGCTTAGATTAAGATATATTGAGTAAATAAATTTTTACTTTGACTTTGAATAGATGTTAAACGAATATGTTATATTGTAATCGGATCTTTTTAAAAAAGAGTAAATTTTGCGTTTCTTGCCGGTCTCTTCTCAACAGAAAGTCTCTTCCGAACCGGTGGTAACTTATTACGAACTTATGTTTCAATGATTATGTAAAATTTGAAGTTTCATAAGAATGCGCTAGCAACTATTTGAATAAAGATATTTTGAATTTTGAATAATGTGGACATTTTTCTGAACAGTAGTAAAAGGATGAAAATGACGATATTTTGCTTAAGTTAAAGCGATCATTAAAATATAAGCTGCTTTTTTAGAAACATATTTTAACTTAGTCATTGCTGTAAAATAATTATAATAATAATGTATTAAAACCTATCTGCAGGCCTACAAGGAATACTGGAAAAGGATTTCGTTCTAATGCAAGGATTTAAGAACGATCTCAATAAGAAACTTCATCAGATGAAATCAAACATGGATGCTGTAAGTTACATATACCATAGTAAGTTCCAACTGTGTGAAACTTATTTCGAAAGCAAGTCGCAAGAAACACTCGACACATACCTTAATTTCAAATTTAAGGTCGTTATTATGATTGGGTGAAAATAGCTAAGAAAATTACAGAAGACAGCACCTGCAGCTCTCTTGCAGTTACTTACCATTAGAAGAAGAAAATCATAGAGTTTCCTGTAGATTTTGTACGCGACGAAACAGTTATTTTCAACTACATCAAAAAAGGATGAGGTTCTAAAATCGGTTGAATGTATTTAAAAATAAATATATTTGTTACCTCTATGCTCCGCCATTTATGAATCGATTTTTCCGAATTGTGTTGCATTGGGTTTGACATGAATTGATTGGTGTTGAACCTTGCACTGGATACACCAGAGAACTCCGCAAAATCACGTAGAAAATTGAGATTTGAGATTCGAAGTAGGTTTTGTATTTTGTTACAAAAATGTTTAATAACATCAAATGAAATTTTAAATGACATAGAAAATAATATCTATGATGATGAATACAGAGGGCAGCTGGGCGTAGAGGAGCGCCGCACCTAGCTCTGGAGACCACCTCACCCGATCGCGTTTCCCCACCTCCGCGCGCTATCCATTGCCGCGAGTACGAGCGGTTGCTGAGGTGAGGAAGCAACAAACAATGCAATGTTAATTGATTTTTTATAATCACCTCTACGAACCGATAGCTGAACTGGTGTGTGCCATAATACTCTTCATTATTCATTCCATCGTTAGCTCAAGTCAATGTTTAGATTTCATTTCAATTGATTGTATAACTTAATTTTGTTTTGTGATACCTGACGAATGTAGGATTATAATGCACAAAGCAGAGGAACTGTAAATCTCATGAGCTCTATGAATGCTCTAAAATAGTTTAATTAAAACATGGCATCGGAAACGGAGTAATGTATTCTTACCGTAATATCTAACACTGGAGTAAAACGAAATGAGATTTCTAATGATAAAATGGCTACATTGCAGCGTACATTGTTCATGATTAATTTTTATTTTTAGGTTCTTCCCGCCACCGAGCATAACTTGCACCCCTACTAGTAGCAGCTCTACCCCTAGGCACTCAAGGTCAAAATTATGAACGAATGAGTTTTGAAATTAGTATTTGTTTTTATAGTACATGCACCACTGAAAGTCCTTTGATCCTTCCTAATTCAAATGTCTAGTGTTCAATGACTTTTGGGTCGAATGGAATGGAACTAAATATCAGTAAACTTATACTTCACAACAGGATATCAAACCATGAAAAATAACTAATAATTCGACATTAACCGTCCGTTTTTTATTATTTTAAATTGATTTTCCTTTCCTTTTACCCTAAATTTAGATTAATTTCATACATAACGTGACATATTGGTAAAAGTAATGTCATTGGTGTACCTTCATGTTTCAACAATTTAATATAACAGTGGTAGGCCTACACAATAGCTACTGCTTTTGCATGAATGAGCAAGCCCTTCCTAGGATGTACCACGGCATCGTAGAAGACCAATAGATAATAGAAGTAGTTGTTTGTCGATTGGGGTAAACGACCGACTATTTTATAACTAGGTCGACAACGCATTTGCAATACCTTAGGTTTTGCAGATGTATAATATAACAAGTCAACCGCCTGCATACTTGCCCACGTATCAAATAAGAGAAAGTAAATGACTGTAATTTTATAACATGTACACCGTTGGTGCGGCTTCATGGAGTAAATTAAATAAAATAACCCGACGTACTGATAATTGCGTATAAAAGAAGCCATAAAAATCGAATAAAATGTATTTTGGGACAAAATGTAGATCAACGTTTTAAAATGACTTTCAGTTATTCGAATGTAAGCAATCCGAAAACATACTGATAAAGACAAATTCTTTAGAAAGATGTAACAAAATCAAAATACGATAGAGATTTCTTGTCTGGAGACGTTTGTCCATTAATCAGTAAATAGTCAGACAAAGCTATTTGTTTTGATGTATTTAATAATAATGAATGTGAAAAGCTGTAAAGGTAAGTAGATTTACAAAATAATGCAGAAGAAAGTTAGATTTCGGATTGTTAGGAAGGTTAATTATATAAACTGTGAGACTGAGTCGTATCCCAGCTAATCTGTAAAACATGTTTTGTAATTATTAGATTGTATTATCAAAGTGTGAGTCAGGATTTTGTGAATTAAATATATGGATATAAGAATAAACTTAAGTTTTTGTTTGAATTTAATAAATGTAAAAAACTATGCTCCCAAGAAACAAAAGCAACTCCCATCTGTCCAATGTTGAAATCCCGGTTCCATGCATTTTTTGTTAGATTTGAAATGTTGCGTCCTCCTAAACTCATACGTATAAGATAACTTCGTCACCAATTAAGGAACTTTGTTCTAAAACTACTTTCCGTGTTTTTAACTCCTCAAATAAACTCATATTTTATGATATTCATAATTTGCCGGCGTTTCTTCAAAAATTGCTTAAGCGGCGCACCAAATCCGTTCATATCTGCAAGCCACCAACTAATCTAAAATAAGTCGTAATAACAGTGAATATTAAAAATACAGTAATAGTATTAAGAGATATTCAGCTTACGTTCTTTAATAAGCGTTAAAATAAAAAGTGTCATAATTTACTAACATATCAATTAAAACGTTAAATTGAACGGTTTATTATCATAACCCGATATAATTCTGACGTAAACTCCGTCGCCAAAATTTGGTATCACTCGCATTGCTTCGTCAGCCTCTGCTGGGGTGAACTCGATTCGCGCAGTTCTCGTACTGCCGAATCAAAATTAAATAAAAACTATTTCATAAAATTTAAAAGCAACATTTTTTTCACGAATCAATTGGCAAAGGTATAAAGATACGTTACAGCTCTAAACTCAAGTGTCGGCACAACATAACTGAGAATATTGCGAGTGAATATAATTATTATTAAAAAAGAAATTATCTAAGTTCGTATTACATAAATTGCAAACATGTTTTGCCCGTTGAAATTCAAACCGAGCGCGAAATTGCTGAGGGGGTTGGTAGAAGCGCGCAATTCCTTCGTGATATCCAAGTTCAGTATCTCTGACAATACTCCGGAGGTGCTAAAGTTCTACAGCGAGAATCCTTGGGATCTGGGGGGAAAGTACCCTACTCTGACGGAAAATGACTACACCAGGTTCATCAGTAAGCGGGCCTTGAAGAGAGAACCAGCGCTCACCAGACAAATCAGTAAGTTGATTCTTAAAACATTTCAATTTTTTTTTAATATTTCATAACTGGCCAACACTCAACTGCCATCCCACGTGATAGATAGAATTTCAATGAAAGAACTCGCCGCCTTGGCTAGTTTTCGATGTTATTACTTATTTCATTCTTGTTCCTTCTATATCTCTTTTGCTCGTCTTCATTTATACCTTCTCTATTCATTTCAGAATTTTTTTTAAACACGTTTATTGATGAGTTACGAAATTATCTGAATTATAATAAAGAGAATACGCACATTATAATACGAATTTACACGATCGTTATAAAAAAACCGATGATAAAAGTATAATAAATATATTTCACATATCATAACATAATATTTCAGAAAGATATAATTTTCAAATTAAATGAACGATTAAAGATCACTGCGGAGTTAATACTCATGTAAATTTTTCTAACATTTGTGATATCTTAAACGTATATTATGATAATCATGTCTGGACGTTCACTTATGAATTCTTGAATATATCAGCGACAAATTATAATAAATTTAAATATCGTAGCTTTGAACTTGTATTTACAATATAGTACATAAATTTTGTAGTTACATAAAGTTTTGACTTTTTTTGTCATTCCCTTTTTGTTTTTGAGATTATGCGCAGTAATCATTCGCCAAAAAAAAATGATCCCCAAGATTAATTTGATCTCGAATATTTTTTTAAGAGAGTAAGTGCCAAACAAGATAATTTACATGATGTGAATCGATCACTGCCGTCGATTTAAATCTACAATAGAGCCACAACAGTTGTTGCAGATAAGTTTTGGGAAGGCAAAATCCAGTCATTTAGTTAGTTATCAGACGAAACGCCATCGAATAAATAATTCTTTCTTTACACATTTCCCGGATTTACATCAGGCCAGTATCTCTTTTGAACTCTTTTATGTTGTGAAGATCTATGGATGTCGGTGACTACTTCAACCCTGACTTGACCCGATAGTCCGTTTTCCTAATCCTCCGTAAATAACTTCTCCCTCTGCTCCTTTTATCTAACAGTAGAAGATGCTACGTGACTCCATTAGTTAGTTACATTCAGTAAAGAGGGACCCGGCTTCCTCACTCACTAGACGAAACGCAGAAGTATAATTTCAACTTCACGATGGTCTTCTGTGCGGTTGTGGTACCCGGACGGACCTGCACAATAGCGAAGTGTGTTCCATGGCCCTACCATAGTAAATAAACCATCCCAAAATATTTTGATTGTTTTGTAACATTTGCGATACACCGGCATTCTTATAGCATACTTATATTTAGCTATAGGAAGGCTTATACATGTTGATGTATGGATTTTTTAACTTAATTACCCTTGTGTAGCTGGTAGCACCTGTTTAAAACCAGAAGATGATACAATACTCGTAGATGAGGAAGCCATCGAAACGGGTTCAATTGTAACTATTCTACATTGACAATACTCCGTCATAGCATTTGACCTCGACCATTCATTGCGTACGATTATTCGCGACTAGTAGTTGACAAAACACTTCCTTCTTCTACAACGCAGGTCAACGGCACTTTATTAAATAAAAAAAATACAGTAGTAATGGAAATTTACTTTAAGGATTGTAACACAAGTTTTGAAACGATCTCTTTTGAATGAGTGACGAGGGTTAAAATCGTCCATTTTTCTACAAATTTATTTAAATAATCAATATGAAAAATGAAATTGAAATTTTTTCGCCACCGCCGATTCTATGTTTTCTGGAGTCGCGACCAGACGCTTTTACCACTAAACGGAACGACTGTTGCCATATAGAAAATTCTTTCTTTCTTTCTTTCTACATTGTTCAAACAACGTTTTACGACGATAATTCGAACGGGAAACGTCGCCCATTGAAATTAATTTGATATTATTTTTAATAGTGCTAACTTTTACTAAGATGATGTGCTCTTTATTAATAAGATGAAACATCAAAGTAGCAAGATGCACTAAATATTTTTCTACAAAATTCAATGTTTCACGTTTAGTGAGATTAGCACTATAGAAACTTATTATTAAATTTATATAGTGACGAGAACTGTAGAAATTCTATTTAACTTTCCTAACATACAATATATACTCGTTTACATTTGTTTACATTTTGTAACTTCAAAGTTCATTTTCGATGCAATTAGTAAAGGGCTAGATTTATTCATTGCTGGTGTCGAAATTCAGATGTTATAACATTTAGTTATTTCAAGTTGTAACATTTAAAAAAGCTCTAAAGCTGTTTTAAAATCTTAATTATGATCACACTGAGCTATCAGATAGCTCAGTGTCCGGGCTCTCGCCTTTATTTCAATATACTCGAGCAACCTGAGTTCGATCCCCGGTGCCGGCACCAATGAAGTTTTTAATTTTAAGTGCTGAGTTATCACATGCTCCGCGGTGAAGGAAAACATCGTGAGGAAACCTGCATATTTTCGTAATAATAACAAAAAAAAATATTTTTCGAAGATATGTGAAGTCCGTCAATCCGCGTGGTGGACTATGCTCCGATACCCTCTGTATAGAGGAGGCTTTTGCCCAGCAGTGGGACATGTATAGGCTGTTACTTTACTCTTTACTATGCACCATTTTCGTATCATAAAGCACTAGGTGACCCGCGATACTTTAATCATAAATGTAGTAGTTGTAGTAGAATTTTAAAAAAATGTAAAAGAGAAGAACATAAACAACATCCGAATTGACGTTATCGCGCAGAACGAAATCTCGTTTACCGAAACTTGTTTTGCCGGCACTGTCGCTGATTTGCATTTGAAATTTCGTAATAGCAAAGTCAAAAAGCGGTCGCGATGTTCTTACTCTCCGATTGAATCGTTTGTTGGTTTTTTTGTTTGATTTGGTTTTATTGCAGTAGTTATTGACTTGGGCCGGCCAAGAGAATTAAATTATGGAGTCGCATTCATCTTGCTTGTTTGCTCACATAACTCTTGTGAGCAAACAACCAAGAGTAGGTAAGCTGATGTGGCAAGTAACGAATAACCGATAAGAAAGAAAGATTCTCGAGTGGCAGCGTTGTATTGGCTCCATTTGATCGACCTTTGCAGATGTAAGGTAAGTTGATGGATTAAGGTTGCGCAGGATGGTTTGTGGCAGACTGTGGGGGAGGCCTATATCCAGCAGTGAAATAAAATCGCTGGAGTAATGATGCATGATGTCTCTAGAGAGGGTAGGCTACCTAACTATAGGTTTACTAACTAGGCCTAATAATAGCCTATTAAACATATATGTTTAAACATATATTTTTTAAATTTCAATATGTATACTGTATTAATGACGACTTTTGAATCGACCTACAGCGTAACCGCTGTTTACTGTCAAAATAATCAAAATGCGACTGTATGAATTGCAAATCATGCTTTTGATGATATTTTGTTTCTGAAAGTGTTACATGAAATTGAAATAATTGTCGTCAGATGATACACAATATCACTACAAAGAATAAAACAAAGTCGTCCCGCTGTCTCTATGTATGCTTAGATCTTTAAAACTACGCAACGGATCTTGATGCGGTTTTTTCTACTAGATATTCAAGATATAGAGTGATTCAAGAGGAAGGTTTATATGTATAATAAATACATTGGACCCGTGCGGGTTTTATTCGATGTTTAGATATAAAACTAGACTTGAAGTTGAGGTTCAAGAAAAAAGCTAATTGACGTGCGATAATATCGAGAATTGTTATATAGAATGGAATTATGCACTTTGATGATGATCTCTTAAATTAAAAATACGCATATTGTTTGGAGATGGTTTAGGTGTGTTTTTGTTTTATTACATTTAGTATTACTGATAACTTTTGTCGTATATTACTTTTTATTATTTATTAAATGTGGTCATGAAATGATAGCTTATTTTTGTTACTCACTTACCAGTTTGGAGAGTTTATAATATTTAGGGTGTATTTAACATACTTATATAGTGAATCTTGATAGCCTTTACCTTCCTTTCTTTTCCAAAATGAATGTTTAATTTTAAATACAGAGTTTTAGTTACAATCCATAAATCTTTATATTCATAAAGTGCGATAATGCATTATTTACTATTATTAAATGGAACAAAAACTAAAATGAGCCCTCACACGTACGTTTTCTTTAAAAGGTTCCGTATACAGGCAGCTGTTATTATTATGAAAAAAGTCATGGAACACTCTCGAAACGTTAGTCAGATTGTCTAAACTATTCAAACGCGCGAAAAAAACTGGTTACGCGTTTTGGCTATGTATTTTCAAGTCACAAGGTCAGACATCCGATAGCGAATTATTGACATAACAGACGCGGCAATGAATTTTAATCGTGTCTTCGATAAGAAAGAAAACCAAATGGGCTCATTTGGTTTTCTTTCTTATCGAACCACTTTTATTACATCATCTTAATAAGAGAAATAAACATTCAATGATATCGGTTACGCATTGGAAGACGATAATATGTTAACAGAGGATAAAGAAATAAATTTATTTTTCGTCATCTCATACATTATTATAGCCAGGTAAGCTTTATCGTCTAGTATCGGATTTTTACTGTAAAGTAGTAAAGCATCACCTAGTGCTTTATGATACGAAAATGGTGCATAATAAAGAGTAAAGTAACAGCCTATAAATGTCCCACTGCTGGGCAAAGGCCTCCTCTGTACAGAGGGTATCAGGGCATAGTCCAACACGCGGTCCCACTGCGGATTGGCGGACTTCACATGTCTTCGAAATATTTTTTTTTATTATTATTTCGAAAATATTCAGGTTTCTTCACGATGTTTTCCTTCGCCGCTGAGCACGTGATAATTCAGCACTTGAAATTAACAATTTCATTGGTGCTGGCACCGGGGACCGAACTCAGGTTGCTCGAGTATTTTGAATTAGAGGCGAGCGGCCGGATACCATCACGGCTCTTTTTACCGAGTTGTTTGAAATTATAATCGGTCTTTGTCGCTGTAATTTGGATTCCAAGTTGAAGATTTATAAGGAGAATATCCTTTTGCGGATTTCGAAAACATTTACCACTTGCGGGACTTAATGGCATTTAGCATAATCGGATTGCGGAAGCTGGACTTTATATTTGTTTATAGCTAAATTATTGCGAATTTGAAGAAACACCCACACCCGTCAGCATAAAGATTTCTCTTTAGCTGTGATAGCCCAGTGTCCGAGCGCCCGCATTTAATTCAATAAAATCGAGCAACCTGAATTTAAATCCGGGACCGGTATCAACTAAATTGTTAGCTACAATTCGCGTGGTGGACTATGATCTAATACTCTCAGTACGGATGTGGTCCTAGCCAGCAGTGGGACACATATATAGGTTACTTTTTTTTTACTTACATCACTTAAATATTTGTATTAAATTATTCATTTAATGCAATGATTAGTGAGTAGGCGAAAGAACTGCGCTCGGAGCTAGAATAGCAACTGTTAATTGTTATATAATTTGTATTATTAACACAGCTAATAATGAAATTGGTACATGTGGTTGAGTGTGTTGATACATTGCATTATAAACATAAAACGTTGTGCAACCATCAGCAATGTTATTACCTGTATTTTTTAAGATTTGTCCGTTTTTATTCAACCTCTGCATCACCTTATTAATTTTTAGTTTCTTCGTAGCTTTAAAAACAGTTTAAATGTGTTACTACCTAAACCTTCTTACTAAGATACTTTAAGTTCTTGTAGCGATGAAGTAAAGACAAATAAATATTCAAGTTGCGAAAAAATCGAAAAAGTATGTAAATAAAAAAAAGCTTTATTTTCTAGCGTCCCTAGCCTACAAGGTAGGCAAGCAAGTGATCTCGCTAGCGGAAGGAATGCCAAATGAGGATATGTTCCCGTTCAGCCGGCTACACCTGCAGACCAAGAATGGTGGTGAAATGGTTCTGGAGGGGAAGGAGCTAGCTACTGCACTGCAGTACATGCCTTCTCAAGGGTGAGTTAGCTATGTTAATATAGCAGTAGTATAAAGATCAGCGTGAAGGGGAAGTATGATACAGTATACATAGTCCATGCAAAGGTTGCCTGAAAGAAATTACTTTAAGTAATATGGCCGCCCATTGTACCAATCACTTCATACATTAAGTTTTTGTTTATTGTTTATTTTATTTTAAGTGTGCAATAAAGTATATTTCATTTATTCATTATGATACTTTCGCGTTTGGTCTGGTGAGTGAGATAGCTGGGTCGTACTATTTTAAGTTTTTCTACGCATCTGCAACAACTGTACGAGTAGATACCCTCCCCCACACCAGAGCATCTGATCGTTTTCCAATTTTTAACACAAAGATAAATTAAAAAAAAAAAAGACAAAAATCTCCTTTTTAAAAATCTTGAATAGAAAATATTAAATGCAATATATGTAACAAAGACATGTTGATGGATGAGTCGGTGGACTTGCCAGCTTTATGGGGGTCGTGGGTTCGATGCTCGCACGGGACAAGTATTAGTGTGGTAAGGCCAAACAGCCTTCACTGTAGAACAGGCTTCACTGCACGAATAGGCAGGTCCATCCGTGTGGAAGTGTTAAATTTATGCGTCTTTAGTTACACGTTCATCTTTATGTTCGGAAAAACCTCCATACAAGATAACTCGATGGCGTAGTTAGGCAAGCCTTCGGTCCCCTGCCTGACGTAAAAGGCGACTAAAATGGGACACAGATTGGCTCGAAGTGGTCTCGAGCTGCTGCAAGATGGCGAGGGAATCGGGGAAGGTCTATCCTTCTCCGAGGCGTACTCAGGTGCAGTACCGAGGGACACCGGTGCAATCCGCGGGAGATCCCGGAGTCCCTCCAAACGTACAATAGTTGGCCACCGAGGGGGCTTTAGTGGGTAAAAACCCAAATAACCCTGTCATGTGATGTCTCTTCAAAAGATACCATGTCATCTTGACATGGTATCTTTTGATGATTTCCACCCAATACTAAAAGAAAGGCAACCCTTCAGTGCCGGGGGGCGCCGGTCCGAATTCCCCACTGGACATGCATTTGTGCGACTATTCTATATATTATATACATATACACATATTTCTATACACATATTTCTAAATTTCATAACAAGTGCAGAAAATAGCGATAAAATTATAAATCGACAAGTCACAAGTCACCCCGGTAAACAGTCGCCTTTCCTATCTACAGGTACCCTGCGCTGCTATCCGAGTTACGTGTATTCCAGCAAGAGTTGCACCGGCCTCCACGCGCCTGTGACGTGATGGTGGTCAACGGTGCGCAGCACGGCATCTACCAGTGCGTGGACATGCTCCTGGATCCAGGCGATCCGGTCATCCTCAGCGAGTTCTCCTACACCGGAGCGATCAGTGTGGTACGATCTTTTTCCATTTATATATTTGTATGGGAAAAGTTATTTCATACGACGCCTGTTTCTTCGAGCTATTTTGTGAAAAGGTGGCGACCGAACTGGTGGTTCACCAGTTGTTAAGTGATAACGCCGGTCATGGATATCAACAACACCTGGGGGTTGCAGATGCGTCGTAAACTTTTAAAATAGTGAGCGGTTACCTCATTTTTTTTTAATAAACATTGCCCTTACTTTAGGATATCATTATCCTGTGTTGTAAGGACATTTAACATACATAAATTTCATGTGGACAAACACCCAGATGCGAAACAACTATCTGTGGGTCGCACAAATAGTTGTCCCGTGTGGGAATCGAAACCACCGACGCCGAAGCCAATAACTTGGCAACTGCGCCACGAAGTCATCATTCAATTTCGATGTATGGAGATATATATTATCTCGATACATTGAAAACTACTTTAACGCTTTTCGTTAATCTTAGTCTACTTTGTTACCATTTATAATTTTAATTTTTAGTATGTACTGAAAATCGGTAAATGATACCTACTTGCTTTCATGCCTTAGTTATATATACTTTTAATTGTTAAAATAAATATGTTTGTTGCCACTAAATAAATATAAATCTTAACATAAAGCGGGCAGGTTTTTACAATTGTTGCCTTAATTATAATGTTATAATGACTTAATTATAATGACGCAATAAGAGTACTGTTTTAATTATTTTAATATAGATTATACGAATACGTTAATGTAATCCGCTTCAGAGACCTGCATTCGAGTTCCTTTTAATTAGTTATGCTAAAGTACCCTTGAAAAATCATAATCACCGGCAACAAATAATTTTTTTTTAATTTACTTGAATGTTGAACGTTGTCTAACGTATTTTCAGATTGTTTACAATCGTCTCGAAGTGATATAAGAATTGAATTAAAGAAGTATTGTTTTGAATGAGGCCCTTTTGATTTGTAATGATAATAATTACACACTTCCCAGAAAGTAGGTTTTTTACATTCAAAATTAACTATTATTAAATACCGTACTAAATCAAATAACTTACTGCTTCTTTAGATTAAAGATTTTGTATAGAATTCGTGGCTTTATTAATGAAAATACAAGAGTGCAACTATGTGAGTCATTAATACTATCGAAGTTAAATTATGCTGATGTAGTCATCAGCGGATGTTTGCTTGCCCGTACAAAGCTACTTATACAGCGTGTGCAAAATTCATGCGCTAGGTTTTGTTTTAAAATACCCCGAAAAGCACATGTGACCCCTTTTCTAAATCGTGGAAATTTATTAAATATGAAATCTCGTAGATTCGTGCGTTATAGTTGTATGCTGTATAAAGTCATTCGTAATCGCGAGTATTTATATGAGTAACTTCTTTTTTCTGAACACAACACCCGGGTTGCAAGTCGATTAATGCATACAAAACATAGGGCATCCTCATTTCGTGGTAGCTTTCGCTACGCTGCCACAAAATGCTGGAATAATATACCACCTCCAGTCAAAAACTGCACAACAGTAAAAAGTTTTAAAATAAAACTTAAAGAACATCTGCTTAAGGCGCAAAAGCTACGGGCCTAAAATACGTGTGCATTTTATATACTTGCATAGTATATGTATTTTTGATAAGTGACTTGGTGTTTTCGTCGAGCTATATTTTATTGATGTCTGCATTTGTTTTTGTTTTTGGAAACAGTTTTCTTTTTTTTTTTCTGTTCACTGCTTTTTACTTATAAATGTTAATTTTCATTAGTCGTTATTGTGTTACTGTCTTTAGAATAATGTACCAGATTTGTGTTAAAATCAGAAGGTATTGTGTTATTGTCCTTAAATTAATGTACCCGGTTTGTGTTATTTTAGTCTAGTTTGTTATTTATAATTTAATTTTTGGTATGTACTGAAAATCGGGAAATCGTACCGAGTACGTACCTGTTTGGTTTCAAGGCTTTGATATATATTCTTTTAATTGTTAACATAACTGTGTTTGTTGTTGAAACTAAATAAATATTCATTCATTCATTCACTTAAATGCAAAACAAAATCTAACAAGTTTGTTTTGGTCAAAAAACTTAGTTACCTATATTTTTTTGCAAAGCAAACAGTTTTGAAATATCTTGTATCTTCTGATTTAAAAATATGGGTATACTTTAGTGAAATCCTTGTTTTAACTTAGCTGAGGCCGTACGACCCCGAGATCATCTCTATCCCGGAGGATGAGAGCGGCATAATGTCCGAGACATTGGAGGCAGTGCTGGAAAGCAGGTTAGCCCGCGGGCTCAAGATGCCGAAGATATTGTACGTGGTTCCAACCGGGAGTAACCCAACTGGGCTCATCATTACAGAGCAGAGGAAGAAAGAGCTTTATGAACTGGCATGCAGATACGACTTCCTAATCATTGAAGACGACCCTTACATGTTTTTAAATTATTCTGGGGTGAGTTGAAGCGGACTTTACAAACATTTCATTATTTTCTGTTTTCATTTGATGATTGACGTGATGATAACGTATACGAACACTTTCTTTTCTTATTAGAAGTTCATGGGAAGTGTGTAAAATCTATCTGTTTTGGTATCACACTGACTTGTCGTATCAGGGACCTGGGTCATCAGGTCAGCTCTTTTTGTACTTGTGTCTTTTTTGTACGTCGTTCTTTTTAATCGGTTACTATGTACGTCTTATTTTCTACTTACCATCATATTAATTTACAGTTCTTACTATCCTAGACTTTACTCTGAGGCAGCTGAAGAGGCTTACTGGTGATCCTGTTTAAGAGGAAACGGGAATTGTTTGGGAAATCGGCAGGACTCTAGACTTCGAAAGAGCTCCCACGCAATTTTACCTCTCCTTTCTCTCCTTTTTGCTACTGATTAACTAGATATATGATAAGTATGGAAATGTCTGCGAAGAGTTCATAGGCCAGTTTTACGTGCGCTCGTTTTAACTTCAATATAATCGAGCAAACCAAGTTCGATCCCCGGGGCCGGATTACCAATGAAGTTGTTAATTTTAAGTGCTGAATTATCATATGCTCATCTGTGAAGGAAAACATCGGGAACCTGCATATTTAAGAAATATTAACAAAGAAAAATATTTCGAAGATATGTGAAGTCCGCCAATCCGCATGGGAGTAGCATAGTGGTCTATGCCACAATACTCTCTTTACAGAGGAGGTCTTTGGCCAGCCGTGGGACATATGTAGGACTTTATGACTAACGGCTACATAAAAAAAGTAGTGTACCAAAAGACGGTATGCGATCTAGCACTAGATACTATATGACAAAATAGCTTTGCAATCTTAAATACCACTTTATATAACTGTATACTACCATTTAGTGATATTTAGTGACCTCACCATATATTCCATGTGGTAATAACGGTAACAATATATTATATTATCTATCTATTATATATTACCTGCATAGGAGCGCACTGCGTCCTTCCTGTCACTTGACGTTTGCGGTCGAGTGCTCCGCCTGGACTCCGTGTCGAAGGCCCTGAGCGCTGGGCTGAGGCTGGGTTGGCTTACCGCTCCAGCTGCACTTGTGGAACGCGCAGAACTCCACTCCCAGGCTGAGTTGCTCCACCCTTCGACGCTTTCACAGGTACGGTGGACAACAGTAGAAACGGGTTAGGGCACTTAGGTTTGATCTCTAACCGTGGTTACCGTTAGCGAAGTATCGTTTTGAAAAAGACGCTTTTGATTTGAAATAATAATAATTAATTCATCATCACCATTTCAGCCTATTTGAGTCCCACTGCTGAACATCGGCCTCCCCCATAGACTGCCACTAAGCACGATTCTGAGCCACCTGCAACCGTCGACTAACTGCACATTTGCACAGGTCGTCACTCTATCTAGTGGGGGGTTGTCCTACACTGCGATGGCCAGTACGAGGCTGCAACTCGAGAACCTTTCTTCCCCAACAGTTATCATATCGGTTCTACGAACTATACGGTCGGCCCATCGCCACTTCAGCTTGCTAATCCTTCTTGTATCTTGTATTAACTGATGTTTTTGCTTTCAGTCCCGAAACTATTAAAGCTTCATCTGACGCAGAACCGGTGGGCTAGCCAAAACCCACGGGTTTGGGCCCTCCGCTGTGGGTAGGGTCGCGCATGTGCTCATGCGTGCGTTTAACTACGACATGTCATCTAAGGGCCATCGAAGTTGCGGTGCGGACCGAGACCCCGATGGCCGTCGACTGTGTTTTTAGCTAATCGGTGGCTGGGGGCGGTGAGGCCCTGGAACGCGGGTGTACCTTGTGTACGCGTTGTGTTGGTCTCGCCGTGCTCGGAGGCGAGGGCGAACTAGTGTGTTTGTTGTTGCACTAGCTGTGGGTGTAGTGTTATCCGGCGGGACCCCCGGCGGTGGGTCCGGCGTATCTTAGTCCCCTTCCTCGACCGGGTCGATGAGGACGTTTCGCGGGCGACGCTTGTTGACGTTCGCGTTTGTGTCGGGTTGGTAATTTGCTGCGCTTACCACCAGAGGGTTGGGATGATGTTCGGCTCTATCGAAGAACCGTTTGGTCAGGTCTTTAAAATATTCGCGAATCGTCGGGTTGCTAATCCTCTGAGCTATGTCGGTTACCCTGGGCTTACTGCGGATCTCTTCGTTGTAATTAATTTCAAATAATTAATTTGAGATAATTAATTTGAAATAATAAACTATGATAGGGCTACGCAGCAGCCTCGGTTGGTCGAGGCTGAAAGAGAATATTTAGGTTTATCACGTACAAATAGTACTACCATAATAGACGTCCTGTGCACATCTACTTTATTTCATTTACTGATTTACCTGTATCAATGTTCAATCACGGCTAATTAGACTTGAATGACGGAAAGGATACATAGAACAAAACGGTTTTCCCAAAAGCCGCCATAACAGTTTCATCGCAATTGGTCGACTGAGTTCTAGTCTATGCTAATCACCTTTGGTGTGAGGCGCACTCGGTTTCTATTGACGTCTTGAATGCCTTTGACAGTGTCTGGCACTAAAGTTTTATTAACAAGCTTCGAACGTACGGCATAATCCAGAAATCTGCATAATCGGTTAGGTGAGGTAAATTCTCACTAAACGGCCTCTCCTAATCATTGTCAATATGAGTCTCTTGACTCTCTCTTTGTACGAGATTCTCATATGTGGTACCGTTGTGACAGCAAAGTTATGAAGGACTACCAAACAAGCGTTTGGACCAACGGAGATTTAACTTACTCCGTAAAGAAGGCAGCAGTAGAGCATTTGAATCTCGGATTGCAGTCATAAACGGGGTTCCAGATTCCATGCTACCAAAACTCAGGTGCGTCTTTTCACCACAAAGAAGGGACCATTCACCCAGGCTCTTAGTTTTCCACCTTTGCATTTGAAATGTAATGACTACCTTCAGTTGTTGGGAGTAGACGTGTCCTAGAATCTCAACTACGGGTGGTTCATTGATTTTAGTGGTAAAACAACTGTAAGGAAAGTGTCTTATCCATATAAAGATATCTTCGTTTTGTTCCAACAAATCGAAGTTAATAAAAGCTTTATCTTTCGATTACGTATCCAGTCGCGCGCTAAAAATTGTACGTAATGAGTCGTGACACATCATACTAGTACTCACATTAGGTTTTTATGTGGTTTAAACAAATTCCAACATTTTGTGTCTCTATAAAGCCAAGTTATGCAGGACGAATATAGTTATCAAAGATTTAGTGTACCGTCGCTGTTTTCATTTTATGTTTTGCTTTTTTTTTTCACAATGTTCATAAATTCAATTTTAATATAATCATTATATTTTTTTAGAGTTTGTCGACGATCCAATTTGATCTGACCTTTCTGTGGTTTGAGAACTCGTTTCTTGAATTAGTAGCATAATTTAGCTGAGTAATGTGTTTGTCTGCTGTAGCGATTCTTACGAAACATGTTCAATACGTGCATTTATCAAATACAGTGAAAGGTTGCTTGGAGTCGAGTCGCCATCGAACCCGTCTAACTAGTTGTGCTGCGTGGTACCAAAAAAAACTTGGAGTTGATTTTCTGCCGAGTTAGCTAATTCCGTTGAAAGGAGAGTCTTGTTGTTTGCGTAATAGTAGCAATCTCGCTATTTATCCGTTTAAATCAGTTATTTGTCGAACTTCATCGCATTTAATTATTTCTTAAATTCGCACCATTTCTCCTATGCCAAATGGCGTAGTTAAAATAGTTTCGTTTGATCTTGTACAATTTCGTGTTTTCGCGTACAAGATCACTAAACGAATTAAGTTGTTTAATTAAATCCGGAAAATATTTTACATTTTGAATTCTCAAATTTGGGTATTCTTAAAGACGTTTTTTACTTCTGTATCTACGATTTCATGCTCATTATTTACGAACGAATTTGACTTTGCTTGGCGGTTGGGCTTTTTCCGTATTCTAATTGCAGTGCTGCAGTGGCACTTTGCATACTGTTCGTTATACTATACTTCATACGTGGCCTTATTTTCTTTATTTGATTGTTGACGTTCTGTATAAAAGTCTTAAACTCTTTTCAAAAATAAATATAACCGTTTTATAAAGAGTATTTTACACTTGAGTCTCGTTCCAGCATTTAAGCGGTTAATTGCCCAAAGCCACGTCGTCTTGAACTTTCGATAATAAAGAAAGATAAGACCTATTCAATTATATTATCTTTTCTGCACACTCTAGTCTGTATTATGTCATATATTTAATCATAATATAGATTAGCTAAGTAAATTCTAGTGTGGTATAAGGTATGAGAAAGAAGTCTATATTATGATTTTATCGATGCTAATTTCATTAAGAGGTTTTGGGTATTTGTTCTTAATATTTTCTGAAACAACTTAAAATTAATTTAACTTTGTGAAAACATTTTGCAATTTACAAATTTATTATGTGTTCAATGTGACCAAATTTTATTTATTTAAATTCTCTAAATTGCAATAAGTCTCTGTTAGTATAATGCGTTATTTAGATCTTTTAACAAAATGTCCAAAATTACTCGAAAAAAATTATAAACGAAAAACACTACAGCTTGTTTGTGTATCTCAAAATTAACATTTCTACTAAGCAGGGTTTAGGAACTTCTGTATGTTGATACTCTGCTGCTTAAACTTTTATTGTTATCGTCAATAAAAACAGCATGCTCGCGGCACGCGTTGAATTATTGAAGAAAAAACATTTGGGTGAAAAGTTCACAGTTCAGTATTAACGTAAACATTGTTTTAACCGATCACGCCATGTCCAGATAAAAACTGATGTAATGTTGTGATTTAACTATCCTCATGAGACACGATGAGGCAAATGAAGATGAGTTTTGATTTTTGGCGATGAGTACTCTCTGAAACAAGCAAGTAGGTCAACTGATGGAAAGCGTAGGAACTCCTAAAGTCAAGAAATATATCGATATATCGATTTTTTATATCGATATATCGGATCAAAATTTTAAGATTGCTCTTAAAGCTTATACAAATCTGTTAATTTTATTTTTGACAAAATAATGGAAAGAAATAGATAAGGCAAACATTTTGTTCATTTAGGGAACGTTGGAAGCGAGGTATGCACCATCTGCCAATATTTAAAAAAAAACCTATTTTATATATATATTTAACCTAAGTGACGTTAAAGAATTATGATATCGAGGTGAACTAACTGACCCAGAAGTAAGAAGGTGCTTGTAGTTAATGACGTTGTGTTTGCAAGCGATTATTCTGGGAAAATAACGATTAAAGTAATACATTCACAGTACTACACCGAATGGGTATATAAATCCATGTGCGAAATTAAAGAGTAGTAAGAGTGAAATCGGTGTGAACTAACTGACTAAGAAGGAAGAAGGTACTTTAGTAGCACGTACCTAGATTTTCCTAGGATTATCGCCTGCTAACGATTAATTAAATACATTCTCACAATACTATACCGAATCACAATATAAACCCATGTGTGACATTAAAGAGTTGTGAAATCATGTGAACTAACTGACGCAGAAGTAAGAAGGTACTTTAGTCAACGACGTTCTGTTTTCAGGCGATCATCCTCCAGTTTATACAGCGGCGTGAGGAGCTAGCGGAGCACATGGTGCGAGCGCGCTCCTTCTATCGCGCGCGGAGGGATGCTCTGGCGGAAGCGTTGAGCGTCCTGGGCGGCTTGGCCCTCTGGACTCCACCGCAAGCCGGCCTCTTCTTCTGGCTGCGCGTGCACGGCGTCGACGACGTGTACAACATGGTCGGTGCCCTTTGAAACAATGATCTTCTTTATAATTTCACCTGCCCTTAACTGGGTATAGGCAAAGTGGATTGGCAGCAACCCTGTCATGTAAGATGACAAAAAGAAAAAAAAATATGGAATAAGCGCACTGCGCAGCACACCTAGGTAGGGAGGGTATAGAGGTAATATAGGGTATAGAACCAAGGTGGGCTCCGCTTAATATGTGAGTCAGTGTAATGTATTGGCTAGATATTTTGACTACAACTTGACGCCTGTCCACCTATGGTATGACAATTGTTTACCGTAATTATAACAAAACCATACAACATATACAGGGAGAATTTACAAAAAGTGCCCAAATTTACACAGAAAGTTCAGACTCGGTAGTATAAACGTTTATTGAAATAAAAACAAGCTTTTTGTTTCAACAAAAATTGCCATAGTATTCCGTAAAAAACAGTGCTTGTTGACAATGCGGTAACAAAATTTTACTGTGCACGGACACAAGCAAAACGAAGCGCTCGCGACGATAAATCGTAGACGACCCTCCCTCTATTCCCGCGTCCGTCTCACCCGCGCCAACACGGCGTCATAGGTTGACCGAGACCTAATTACGGCCGCACGTCACTAACGATGTCGGAACAACAACCCCGTTATTCGAACCGCGAGTATTAAGAGATGGTATATTTTAAGTGGAGAAAGTTTACGTGGTGCGCAAAGACTTTAAGAAAGTGACTCTTTACCGCGTTTAAAAAGGCAGGCAATTAACTCAAGTGTACCTAATCGAAGGGCGACCTTGACAGCCAACCAAAGGTTAATAACCTTTGGTTGGCTGTCCTATGCCTTTGGCATTTTGGACAATTTACTACACCGACGCATGCAATGCTTAGACACAAGTAATGTTAAAAATAGTTTGAGAAAGCATGCTCAGCTTTGTATTGAGAGAAATGGACTCCATTTTGAACAATTGTTAAAATATCAGTGAGTGTTATTGTGACTAAATGAATATGTATGTTTAATTGTTGTAAATAGTAAATTCCACTTTTTAAATAAATTTTAATGCCATAATAAATACGGACAGTAGTCTGTGATTTTAAATTTAAAGTAGTATTTTAGTATGCACTTTATTATGACGGTATGAAGGAAAATTGGAATCATAAACTTACTTATGCTACGATACGTGTGTAGTAACAAACTTTAGTTGTGTGCGTGTCACAATGTAGATAGATAGGTGTCGACGTTTATGCGTCGTATACTTTTGAAAGGAACTTGTGTGCGGGTTAGTTATGAATGATCGCACGTAAAATAAAGGAGTTGCGGATAAATCACGCACTTTTTGAGATAAGTTCAAATGAATGTAATTAATTACTAACGAGTGATTTTAAACATTTATCATTTTTTATATAACATTATTTATGTCTAGAATTTAATAAAAAAATGGATACACTTAGAAAAGCCTTCCTGTATATAGTCTTATACCACACCAGATGGCATTAACTATATGGAGACATAATTAACTAGTTACTGCTAATGTAATTTAAAAAGTTAATGTAAATGTAAACATACAAAACTTTGGCCGACACCACACTCCAAAAAAACAATTGAATATTTATTTAACTCCCAAAGTATATTTTGATCGCGTTGTACTAACAATACAGATTGTAATAGTAGACTGAACATATTATATAACAGATATTGTAGTCCCAAACACGAGTAATATAAGACCAACATAAGCGGAAAAGGTTAGAAAATGTACTGAACTATAAGATGAGATATATAATAAGAATATATATATATGTAATAAGAATTGGGAAAATAACTAATTTATCCAATTATTTAACAGTTTAGAAGTACTAAAACTCCAGAAAAGGCACATTACTAGTATAAAGGTATCACTTAAAAAGCTGCAATATTAAACACCTGCTGTATACTACGAAAATGTTTACAAATGGATCTTAAAAATCTTTCTTCGTTATGTAAGAGAATTCGTTAATAAGAGCCGAAAAAGGTAGTCGTCTTGGGTCGTTTCCTGACATAATCTTAATCATGATTTTCTTAATTAGGCAATTTAAAGGTGGGATATCCCCAACTGTCACGACACCACTGCTTTACTTAAAACTGCAGGCCTACTCCCGACAGATTCGAGTTCTGAATCAATCGAGTTTTGCTCGAATTCATGGCTGTTCACTTTGAATTATTATTATATTAATATTCACTTAATCTGACGCCAGCGCACAATCAAGTGGTGGCTCTGATTGGAACTAACTAAGATCGAAGAACTTTTCTAAAAAAAAAATAATCAATTAACATTATATCTAAGATAGAGGTCATAATTGTAAACTTGAAACATTTGTCTATATCCTGTATCCGGTCTGGATACAGTTAAAGGATTTGATAACGCACGATCATGTCCCTAGTTTCGATTCGGTTCGGGAGTGAGCTTTTCAAATCGAGTTCGAATCAAGAGTGAGTTCGAATCGAAAACAATAACAAATTCGACTCGAATTTGGGGAGCAAGACGGCAGATTTTCACGGTGCTAGGGCCACGCAGCAGTCTCGGCTGTTGCACTAATGGGCAGACTCGTCCAGGTAAGTACCACGGGCTCACAGAAGACCTAAAGTGGAAGTATGACAAATAATTTCACGTTTCGTCTGGTGAGTGAGGTAGCCGGAGCCCGATTTTCAAAAGGTTGTCAACGCATCTGCAACCCTCGGGTATTCACTTAACATCAGGTGAACCGTCTGCTCGCTTGTCAACTTTTCACATTAAAAAAAAGATTAACTCTTGGTCCCTTCTCTAGGTGTTCCATCGCGCATTCGAGCGCGGCCTTATGCTGGTACCGGGCCAGGCCTTCGTGTACGACACCAGCGTCCCCTGCCCTTACCTTCGGCTCACCTTCAGCAAGATACCAGAAAAAGACATGCATCGAGCGGCAGAGCATCTCGCAGCCATTATCCGGGACGAGCAAAAGATCGTGCACAAACTGGCAGAGGTTGGCCAGTGAGCGATAGATGGCGCTAGTCAACTGTACATCCTATATGGTTGAGAAATATAGATGGTATACTGTAGCCTATGTAGGATACTATAGCCTAAAAGATAGATGGATACTACAGTATAAAGATATACTTTTACATATGTATCGTATAAATCAATGTTATAGTCATTTATGTAATTTATGTTAAGTGAACATAAAAAACCTCACATATGTTAATCGAATATTTAGATTATTGCCCTCCATTTTATTAGCATAATGAAATATCATTATGCATGTGAGATTTCGCTATATATCTCAGTTGTCTAGTTTTGCGTTAAGTATGCCAATATGACGTTGGTTCGTATATATATTTGTATATAAATATGACATTGATTTTTTTATTAATTTAAGTGTAAATTAGGTGTAATAAAAGCAATCGAGTGTCATTTAGAATAAGCGCCATCGTACGGAACTAGAGGAAATTAAAATTTTATATTAACGTATACGCCATCTGTATGTCGTATAGTCAGACAATCAAATATTGTATTTAATATAATTATGTAATGTTTTATGAGTAATTCAATTAATGAAATAAAATAACTTTATTAAATTATGTTACCAATATGTAGAACTTTTCTTCTACTTCAAAAGGGTAAGAATTTTAGGTTTCTAATAAAGTTACTATATATAGTATTTCTACTTGGCACCAGATGTCACTTACTATAATTATTTTTTAGATAGCTATTTTATTTTCTTTTAGATGTTTCTTGAAAATATATAGAGCTCGCCGCTTTAAATTCATATTTATACGTTTATATGCATTGTATAAAGTTAGTTTTTATATATAGATGTTCATTAAATATAAGAATCATCACGTTATTCGTACAATTAGATTTAACACTAAGAACAAGTAGATATTAGCGATCTTATGAAAATATAACATAAACCTATATTTCTTCTGTTTTATTGATTAACCAAGAATATAAAAACCAACCGTACAAGTCTATAGCTATTTTGGAAGATAAGTAGATCGTCTTAGAATTATTTTATAGCTTAGAAGCATTAAACATTTAAATTGAAAGTAAGACAGGGAATGGTAAAGAAACCTCTTTAGATTTGTATAAAAAGCTACATCTTTGTCGGTCCTGTTTCTGTAACACCTGTAAACTTTCTTCAAGTAGCGAAACAGTGATATTAAATAGAAATACGAGGTAGATATGACACTAGCACATCTGATGCACTTAAATTACACCCATTGGTGCAATTTGATTGCAATTTTATAGACTGCTATCTCTTTCTGTATAATACGTTCTATATCATCTGTTACATTCACTTATGTAATGTCATATAATGTAAAGCGGAATAAATTTTATACGCCGCGCACGCACATATAGACGTGCGTCATCTTTGTTAAAAAATTAGCTCTATTTGTATTGGCGTTGTTATTCATTACTCATACATCATGACTTGATGACACATCTTACTATTTATTATACAGAAATGCTAGATTATTTGCTGATTATTACTTCCGTACCATTCATTATTCATAAAAATGGCAAAAAATCATGTCTGTTGTGTGGGATCCCCCACTTCATTTTTTTATTCTGTTTATTAAATAATTGTTGTTATAGCCAATAGAAATACATCAACTGTCAAAATCTCAACTGTGTAACTATCGGTATGCGGTTCATGAGATACAGCTTGGTGATGGATGGACAGACAGTCAGACAGACAAACAGAAAGTCAGGCAGACAGACAGACAGCGGAGACTTAGTAACAGGACTTAGGACCACTTTTCCCCCGTTTTTTTTTTCCTGCTGGCAACTCTAAGATACACATGTCATTGTAACTTCTCCCTTTATTTTTATTTTAATTATTTTTGTATTTTATGTTTTTTTGTAAATTTAACAATCTAATTGGCCTCTGTTAACGAAAAATAATATTAGGGACTAGAAATTTTACTCGGTGTATTGTCCTTTGTTTTCTAGAGTGTTGTTTTTATGTTCCGTCAGCTGTCACCGCTAAGGTAACGATTTCAAATTTAAATTTAAATTTGTTGTCATTCTTTCCTCTTTCAATTGCACACTGTTAATTTTGTTTCTTTTTCAACCTAATTACAACTTATCCTTAAAATGATGACCCGTAACACCAAGGCGCGCCAGGTTGAGGAACAACTCCAGCTGGCGCTCCAAGAGTTAAAGGCGACCAAAACACAGTGTGATCAGTTGTTGAGAGAGAGGGATGATAATGAACAAGAGACGTTGCAGATTATCAATAAGAATAAACAATTAAAAAATGAACTATCAAACCTACATTGTAAAATATATAAACTTAATAGAACATAATGATAATCTGCAAAAAATAGTCGATGGGTTTGATCAGTGTAGGGGTGAGTATGAGGAAGCCCTCGGTCTCACTGCTGTGCTGAGGTCTGAATTGAATATGGCCCAACAAACCATTCTACAACTAGAGAATAAGAACCTAAATTTAAAGGCCACTCAAGCCCAGAGTCTATTTAATGAACTGGTTGAGAAAACACCTGATATGGTATCCTCAGTCTCTGCCTTTAAAAATGACATCTGTACAATTGATTTGACTGGCGATGACTCTGGACTCTCTTACCCAGTTCTTAGTAAAAAAAAAGCATAAGAAATATGTCAAAATTAACAAATTTATTAGGAAAACACAACATTTGCTAAAAAATAAATATAATACTAACAAAAATTTTGCAAAAATTTGTAAGGAAAGAAATTCACTCCGGTCAAAAATTAATATCTTTTATAATGAGGCCCTAAAAGTTCAGTTATCATATAAGGCTGATGTGAATTCCCTTCAGGCTGAAATATTATCTTGAACTCGATAAAAAAAAAATATGAGATGTCCCAAAAAGAAATTGCTGGACATATTTCAGCCATGAACGACCTGCTTGACATATGTAAGAATAATTCAGACCGCTTTGACTCACTTACAAAAAACTATGTTTTTGAATGTCAAAGCTCCCTTGGTCTTTCTCGGCTGAATGTTGATGAAGTGCCTTCTTCTCAGACTGATGAGAATCACAACAGCCACATCAACAGCAGACATGAACAAGTAACACAACATATTCCCAGTAATGATATTATCAAAGTTTAGTTTAAGGAGGAATATGGGGTCGTTGCTTAATAATATATGTAAGGGACAATCAGTTTCTAATCATTGTATGCCCGGAGCTACTTACTCTCAAATAATGAATACAATATTGACAAGCACTAATTATCCCAACACTATCTTAATTATATTAATTGGGAGAAGGGGAAATGTTAACAAGAAACACTTACAGAATTATTATGATCAATTATTAAACTTAAATGTTAAAAAAATAATAATGTTCACATTTCCCTATGTAAAAGGGTTGCCACAGGAAAACAATTATAGACATAGTCTTAATCGTATGTTATATATGTTGACAAATAACAATTATGTACCCGTTTATCAAAAAAATAAATTAAATTGTGATTTAATTGACATAAATAATATTATAAATTATAACTCATCCAATTTGACATATGATAGGTTCATCCTATCCAATTTTTATTTAAAACAGTTAGCTTATATGCTATCTTATTGCATTTTTTTAAACCCAGCCAATTGTTTGGCTAACCAGACTGCTGCTTCTATTGAACAGCAACAAAATTTGACATGTACCAATTTGGAATCCGTTCCAAGTAATTTAAATTAAATAAGAAGACAACAGAGGCAATCTCTGGCACTTCAATTAAAAACTTAACTTATTCTAGTAAATTAGTGAGACATGTAAGTAAATTGAATTAAGACATTAATTGTAGTATTAAATTAAATTGTATTAGCCTGGTCCATCAAAACATCCAAGGAATATTAAGTAAAGATTTGGAAATTGAGTTATTTTTGAACAGTAACAATACTGATATATTATGTATTACTGAACATTGGCTATTAAACTACCAGTACATATTTAACTTCAGATGTCACCAGGTTGCTAGTCTGTTCAGCAGAGAAAAAGCGATACGTGGTGGCTCTCTTATACTTATTAATAATGCTTTAAAATTTAAGAACCGCATAGATGTTGTGAGCCTCTCTGTTGAGCAGACTATTGAAATAGCCTGTGTGGAGCTTGAGCAATTCATTGTTGTATGCGTATACAGATCTCCTAGTGCGTTATATGAATCTTTTGAAAATGTTTTGGAAGAATTGATGTTGAAGTTATCTGAGTCTAATAAATATATTATTGTCTGTGGTGACTTTAACATAAATTTATTAGAAAATTCTACCACCTCTATTAGATTCAGATCATTGTTAAATTCATATAACCTTGCCAATTTATTCCTTGAACCAACTAGAATCACTACTTCTTCCGCAACTTGTTCTGCTCTTCTGCTCTTCTTGCAAAATTCAAATACGTTACATTACGTAATACTGCAGATAAGCGTAGTAGTAGCATAAAACGTAGCAACACGTAGAGTGCTCGTAGGCATTCGCAGTATAAGCATTGGTCCCACGTGTAGTGTGTCTGAGCCTTCAGCGGGCTTGTGCGGCACATCCTCAATATCTGCTTAATTAGCGTTCTCCGTTTGAATCTCGTTGTTGGCACAGAATAATAACGAGCAGAGGCTTTATTGCATCAGTGTTAAACTGATGGCAATCGGTGTATTTAACAGTAATCGTTAAATACACCGATTCTTTTGCTGGTATACTTGTTGGATACATGAGGTTATACATATAAGGTAGGTAGAACAGATATGATAGGTAGACGCCTGGGTAAAGATATTTAGGCATTGAATTGAGCTTCTTTTTTCTCATGCCGTTGTCCCACATTAGGTGGGGAGGGTACGACGTGTTCTTTTGTTCCACTGTCCTCTACACCCGTCATCTCAGTAATGACCTTTCACAGGAATAATCTCTCAGTGCATCCAAATCTTTCTGGTTTCGGTTTTCCCAATGCATTATACTCTCCAACCACATCGTTTTTATTATTTATTCATCACTCTTCTCTTCGCGTGACTTTCATACTT